CTCTGTCATTCCATTTTACTGGTTAGTGGATACAGATTCCCATAATGAGTTGTGGCAATTCCGAAATGTTCCGAATATATTGAGCAGTACAACCACCCAACAGTAGTCCAACAGGAGTTTTGAACAATGCTCAATTTTTTTTCATTACACTTATGAATCCAATCATCAATGGAGCAGCTTTGCAAGGCTTCAGCCTCTTCAGCTCAGTGACTCTGCTTGCCGCTGCGAGCGAAGCGGTCGATCACCAAGAAGTAGATGCTCTTCCCAGCCAAAGTGAATGGCAAGTCACCTGAAGGTCGGACGATTGATCTCGCCAATGGCCAGCTGGATTTCATAGGTATATCATATACCGAAACCTTTACTGATACATATAGATGTTCCATGTGGTTTATGTATATATATATATACAGGTGTAAATGTATATGTACATGTGTGCATTGTAATGTAGTATACATATATATATAGTGTATATATATACAGTGTAAATATATAGTGTCTATATATACATACATGTATGTAGTGTGTATATATATATATATGTATGTATATATAGATATATACCGTATGTAAATATGTGTATATATACATATTCTATATAGATATGTATGTATGTATGTATGTATGGATGGATGGATGGATGGATGGATGGATGGATGGATGGATGTATCCAGATGTATGGATGTATCCAGATGTATGTATGTATGTATGGATGGATGGATGGATGTATAGATAGCGTGTATATTGCGTGTATATCGCGTGTATATCGTGTGTATATATATATACACACACGTATCCAAACAAATACTGGCATACCATATATATAATATATATAGAGAGAGAGAGAGCATGGTTATATGGCATGATTATATGATATATATTATATGTAAGGTTTCTACCTTGTATGTAAGGTTGCGAATATGATATGAAGATGTGAGATACACCCTTCAGACCTGCAATGTCCCCCACATCTTCACGTGTGTTGTTCCACTGATTAAGCGCTCAAATTGCATCATTGCAAAGGGTCTTGACCAATGAGTTCAAATGCAGGTCCGAAGCCATATCGATCAGGATGGGGGATTGTGTCACTAGTGATGTTGTTCAAAGCTCAAAAGATAAAGGGAAAGACTCTGACTCTTCTCAGACATCCAATCTTACTGGGAGAATTTGGAAAGGTAATTACAGTCTATTTCTGGGAACATGTTCAAATCCAAGGCTGGGACACTCCAACAATCATAGTAAAAAGAATAGAAATTACAGTACCTTCAATTTGGGGGACCTCAAAAGTTTGTGTTTTGAGGTTCATCAATGGGCAGTGTTCAAAACCCGCACCGTCATTCCATTCCCGGGCTGGTTAACAGGGATTCCCATAATTGACTATGATAATCTTCAATATATTAGCTAGAATAACCGACCCCTTTAATAATCATTATCATCAACCAGCAGGGGCTTTGAACACTGCACAAATAAATATGTGTGTGTGGGGTATTCTTGGAATATACCCCAGATACTGACAATGTAATCCTTTCAGGGATCAGCATCCACGGTCAAAGGTTTCAGCGACGAATGAAATGGAAAGCGTAAAGTCTTATTAAGTAGATTTGCTTCTGGAATAGTTTTGTTTTCACCTGATATCTAGTTCGGAAGTCCAAAATCCAACAAGAGAATCATGTTCCAGGCTTCAAGGGCCCTATTGTTGATGGTTCGTCTGGTAAGTTCTTAGATGAGCAGTGCCTAGTTCAACCGACCGAACCTGTCATCCCTTTCTGTTTGGTTCATAGAAGTTCATAGAGGTTCCCATATTGCATTTAAATCTCCAAAGCAAACATTTCACTTAGACCCCGCCACTACCCATCAACCATCTGTCGATGTGGGGGTGCATCCCAGAAATCGCAAATGGGAAATAACCATAACATAACATGTGACCCAAGTTTGTATGGAGTATCCTTGTCATATAATCAAGTATATAGCATCATGTAGATATGAACATTATATAAATATAAAATTACTATAACATAAATTTAAAACATATAATGCATGCATAATATATATGTATATGGTACTGTAGACATGTTTCCGCACAAATAATCTATACATAGCATCTGTGGACTTTAAAAAACAAAAAAAATAGAACGCCTGGGTCAGGCAGGAGCGCCTGTGGCAGTTGATGTTTCCTTCACTCTGTCCACAGTAATCGCCTGCCTGATACGGGGCAGAGGCAGCTGGTGACACCATGTGATACCTGAACACTTGGAGAATTTGGGCCAGAACCTACATGCACATGTTGAGAATATCGCAGTATATAACTATAGATTATATATGTTACACCCTGGTTCAAAGATGTTCAAAGTCATACGGGGGAAAAAAAACACAGGAGTCAAGTCCCAGCAAGGACTGTCGGAATCTTTGGGTTGTCAGCCCTGGAATCGAACCCGACCCAAGAGGCCAGAATCTACATAATGTCTAAGTTCACCATCGCTGAGTCCATGTTTCAGCAGGAAGGAGTTGAATCTTTAGTTTTCGGTGATCAGTTGGGTCATGACCGGCGCTTTAAACGATCTTCGCGTATTCCCAAATTCAGATTCTTGAGGCACTCCACTGATATCTTGCCAGAATTATGTATATAATATATATAACTTATATAACTAAGTGGTTCAGAAGGGGCCTAAGATCCCTTGGGATTGAGAAGCATTATATTGGAATGTAGCCCAGTAACCACAACTTCCCAATTCTGTGCCGGTGGATGTTCATCCCATGAAAATATTGCTTAAAGTCTCGATCCATCCCATCTATACCAAGTTTTCGCGATGAAATCCACATATTTTTCCATGGAAAAGATATTCATATAGATTTTTCATGATTTCTCCACTGGAAAATATAGGATTTTCACCCATCCCCAGAAGGAGCCTGGGAATTGTCAGCAGCACGGAGCTGTCTGCATCACAGCGTTCACCTTCACAGCCATGCTCGTTCTGCGAAATTGTCGCTGGCACCTGCATCAGAGCTGTCCGGAAGAGACGCGTTTGAAACGTGACAACCTGAGGGATATGGGATGATGTAGTATAATGGGATATAGTAGGATACTATTTGATATAGGGGGATATAATAGGGTACTATGGGATACTAATTATATATATATACAGTATATCAATTATCAGATATCATAAATCATCATGACATCAAATCACTAATTGTGATTATTTTTGCTGATATGGGTGTGTCAGAAAATGGGGGATTGACCGTCTGACCGAGAAAATGATGACAATGCATGGAATTTTGTAGCAAGCCATTTTGAGACAAATCCATATCCCTCAAAACAGGTTGTGGATGTTTGTTCGGATAATTCGTCTGTTCCTTCTTTCATGTTCCAAAAAAACGATGAACCACCCCAAAACTTACCTGGAAAACTGGGATGAGGAAAAAAACTAATTGGGAAAGAGCAGCAACGACAACAGCAACACTGGGGATATGTGATACAACAATGATTTTCTACTAATGATTTCTCATCATCCAAAAAGGTCGGGAAGTAGACCATGGGATGTTCACCAATCTTGTTTTTTGCATTGTCGTTGTTTGTACAAGCCCGTCCCAGTTTGTGTTCCCTGTCATTGAGCATTCGGTCCTTTATAATTTTATAACGTACTGTACCCAAAATAAGATCATACCAAGAATCATCTTGCCTGAACGAGATTCCTTCATTAGTACATATTCAAATTCAACGATCCGTTTGCATTGTATTGATGCCGGTTCCCCTGTTTCCAAGTTGATTACACTTGTTGGACTTCATCACCCTGTTTTTCTTTATATAAATATATGTAAGGCTTGAAACCGGATGTCAAAGCAGCGATGTGGAATCAGAGATCTCTGTGTAAAAGATGAGCCGGAAAGCAAAAAAAGTTCCCAGAAGTCATCCAAGATATACAGGACTTGAATTACCTCAAACATACGCAAAAGCTAGGATTCTTTCTCAGGTTCGAGGCTCAGCAAAAGGCTTCATAGTTTTCCAGATGAAAAATATCAGGAAACTGCACCCACCTGCAACAGCAGCAGTAAAACTCTTGCAACCAACATGGCACTGCAATCCACACAGGGTCGCAGGCCGTTCAGTTCTGATCCAGAATGGCTGAATGCATCAGCCGACCGACTTCCCGGAACTTCCAAAGCCCTTTCTGTGTCAGGGATGTCCAATCTAATAGTGACTGCACCAGAGTGGTTGAATCCTGTTGTAGTCCCACCAGATTTGTTCCTAGTTGTCTGGCTGCTGGGTAAAAATATCCCTGTTCAACTAGTAGATATCGATACATCATGATGCGCATAACCACATATTTATCCCAGAAAATGAGGACATGCAATTTGTCATGAATCTGATCATCCCCATCTGGATGGTAGTTGGTCTAAGACCCGATGGTAGATGTCACCTTTTTGCAAGCTGGGAAATCCGTTAAGAAATGAAGGTGTTTTGATATGTAAAATGGGAGAATTATAGAACTGGAATTCCGGGATTTTCCAGCAAGCCATGTTTGATTACCAGAGAGTATGTGTATATATATATATTCAATAATCATCCCTTATAAGGAAGATGAAAACATACTTAAAAAACAGCATCTATATAGATCATCGTAGACATAGATCCAAATGATGATACCTTTGGCCCCAGCTCATATAGTCATTATCATCATGAATCCTCCCCAAACTAGTTGGTTCGCTCCGCACTTAAATTGGTATAGCTCAAAAATATTGACCCCCAATTTTGAGATCGTTATAATTATTTATATAGATACAAAATTCAACAAATGTGAGCAGGTGTGTCCTCTGCAAATTCCGGTCACCTCTTCAGGTGGCAACGTTTAACCAAAATTGAAGAGGAACCATGATGATCAACCAGGGGTTTTAGGGGTGTTCCCAAAAAAATCGGACCAGATCATTTTCTAAATTTACAAATTGATACATTTTGGTCCTTGAAAGCGCGATTACTCTGACGGCTGTGCAGCAACCTTCCCGGCCTCAACGCCAAGGCCCTTTGTTCTCCATCTTGGTCCTTGGTGATTCATCCAGCCGCTACTTGGGTGTCTCCCCCATAGAAAAATGGGATATATATATATAAATGGGACATTGATGGGGATATAGTGGGATATCAATGACAAGTGGATCATGGGAGTAGAATAATACGGGCTCTTTTTGAGGTTTTTCTGTTGCCTTTTTGAGGCCTTCTTAACCACCATTGACCTCAGGACAGTGGATTTCGGGGACCCGGTCCATAGCAGGACGAAGCCAGTCATCGAGCAGATTGCAACCTGCTGCCATGTGGGACTCTCCCAGCCATTTCAAAGTACAGCTGTTTGCAAGCCTTAGGATACTTAGGATAGACCATGGCGTTTCATTTTCCCGGAACTTTCATGGCATCGCAGGTTGGAATTGGAATAGCCTAGGCCTAGCTATTCTTCAATCAGCACTGACGGCAGAGTGGCCTAGATCAAAGTCTTCAAGTTCTTTTCCCAACGCACTGAAGGCTGCCTCTATGACCTCTGCAGGATGATGGAGAGACGAATCTTCCACAAAAAATGCGTCCATCGCAAACTATTTGGACCCCAGAAGACACAATGGAATATCTTGTGTTGCATCTGTAACACTGTATACTTCAAGTATCCAGACACAGGACAAAGAACCGTTATAGAGCAATTTGTTTACGCAGCATGCTAACTATTCGGTTCTACGAATTCCCCAAGTTGCTTGCCTTGACAAGCTGCAAATCACGCATAGAAACACATGGAACAAGACCTAACGTCTGTTTCATGTCGGCAGTGACTTCACAGACTGCTGTACTCAGAACTTTGCGTCAACTCCTTGATACAGATTGGTAGTTGCAAATCCACTGTATCACAGCTGACTTGGATATCTTGGATTTTGCTGTCTATTCATTCACTTCCCCATGGCAATAACTTCTTCGGATGATCACTGGGAGCATCCCAATGAGCCACGGCACATAGAGCGCTTTCATGGTTTTCTCTTTCAAGTTTACGCTCTTCTTTTTGGCCTCCCGTGGAAAACAAATGGTCAGCAAAGGCATGATGAAGGGACAAAAAACCAGCAGGGATCAAGATTTGCTGGTCATTCCTGAACTGGATTTGCTCTATCTATGTCTTTGTCAGATCAAATCCATGTTTGGATATGCTCAAGTCCCTTCAGCTGCAGCTGACCTGAGCCTGACAACTGTAGCGAAAGTCGTCCAATAACTGAGTCAGGAAGAGTTGCAACTCCTGCATTGGGACAAACGTTTCGCGGTGATGTTGTGATGCCCGCAGTTGGAGATGTTGTTCAGCTCCGGGACATCATGGGATATTAATGAGAATATAATATAATGTGATATAAATTATCAAGTGATGACATAAAGTGATGACATATTATAAATGTAATGTTATATAATGTGATAATACAAAGTGATTAGTAATTTATAATATGTTATAATGGGAAATCATCGAATGTTTGGGTTGAGAAGAGGATTGTGAACCATCAACAACCATACTTTTTGATCCTCCCAAGTTGCTTCATACCCCCCAAGGGACCATTTTAGATCCCAAAAATGGTTTCTTAAATGGAATCTACAAAGGGGGGTCTTAGAACCCTTTTTTTTTCAGCTGTTCCGTTTTTGGGTTCTAAAATGGGTTCTGAAATGGTATCTTCCACTCTTGACAAAATAGTTTAAAATAATTTAAAAAAATCCTTGTTGAAACCATCGCATTTCAGAAAAAAAACGGAGAGGAAATCTGCGCCCCCCAAAAAAATACATCAACATGAGGTGAATGAAAAAAACACTGCAAAGAGCACTCCATGATACTCCACAACATTTTTCAGTGGATGGCGGCCACAGATGGTCTTGTCATTTCCTACCTACGGAGCCAGGTTTTTGCCCGCAATCTTTCCGTCCTTTCTTGCCAAACCATTAAAGTACACCCGAACCCAAATGCCTTCAGAATGTCCCCTAAGTCACCCCTTTTCAAATGAATTTAGTTTTGGGCTAGTTCCATTTCCCGTGCGGCTGTTTGTTTAATTTTATCCAGACATGTCCAACCAGTTAAATTTTCAACAAAACAGCAAACTCCTACATGCAGTTTTTGCAAATCAATAGTGTTTTTGCGTCAAAGGAGAAAAACAAGGAACAAATCATCACATGCGGAATCAGCAAGCAGCTGTGTGTGGGACTACAGCTGCGGCAGCTGTCACTTGAAAATATGGTAAGTTTGCCTACCTTCATCAGGATGGAGATCGTAAGTGGAGGCTCACCACTGACTGGACACTTGTTCTTTTGGGATCTTTGGGGGGCTGGGCAGCTATGTGGCATAGAGATGTCACCCTAGACAATGCACCTTGATGATTTATCTTTGGGAAGGGTTCTGGAATGGTTTCCTGCTTGGCCAAACGCGTAAGGTACCAGCTACTGCAAGGGGAAACCATTTTAGACCTTCTGTATGCTTAGATATTTTACATATGTTCATTTGTTGCACAGGCACTGGTCTACTTGTACAAGAACAAAAGATGGCAGAAACAGTTTTAGCTGACTTGATTATCACTGAAATTCATCGGCATTGGGGTGTACCTGCCTACCTACCCCTGGAGGTATTTATCTTTGGGAAGGGTTCTGAAATTGTTTCCTGCTTGGCCGAACGTGTGAAGTACCAGCTACTGCAAGGGGAAACCATTTTAGACCTTTTGTATGCTTAGATAGCTTAGATAGCTTAGATAGCTTAGATATGTTCATTTGTTGCACACGCATTGGTCTACTTGTACAAGACCAAAAGATGGCAGAAACAGTTTTAGCTGATTTGATTATCCCTGAGATAAAATTCATGTCTGTCACTACAGCTGTTGCCAGTTGGGGAAAATTTCTACCTACCAATTTGCCGCTCACTTTACCTACTGGGCTCTTTCTGTCAGAGATGCTGAGCTAGACAATATTTGACCCCGGCCTTTTCGGAATGAAATCAAAAAAACACCCCCCAAATGGCATGCAAATCTCTAGCAAATGCACGTACATTTTCGACGCGGGATTTTGTAGCCTCTTGTGACACAACATGCAAAAACCACTTTATGTGTGCCTCAGGTGACGGCAAAAGAAACAAACATGCAAAAAAAAACAAAAACACATGCGTTGTTGTTGCGGTAAATGCAAAGGTAAAGGTACAGCTAACCACTTCAAAACTGAGCCGAACCCACAAGTTCCCCCAGTCAGAAATGTTCTTACAAGAGATCAAGAAACAAACTGAACTGTGAATTTGTCAATTTTCTACCGTATATCTGTATATAATCCTTTTGGGTTTTTGTGCCAAATGGCATTGGTTCGGCCATATTGTTGCGACGTAGTGCAATCGAGCCTTGTAAATCACCCTAACCATAGTTTCAACAGGAGGATCAAACTGGCAAATTGCTTTCAACCACCGGTTCACTAGGGATCACAAATACCTGCAAAAAACCTGCACCATACATCATCATATGCTATTATACAAGCTTGCAAAGTGGGGGTGCTACAATGATTTTTTTTCATTCTAGAACCCTCCGTGTTTATCCCCAAGGGGGGGGGGGCATTCTAGAACCTTCCAACTTGAGGCTATATTTTTTGGAGGGCGAAACTTCAACAGCTATGTACCATTGAAGGGGTCAAGTCTTGCCCAGTCGAGTGGCCAGAGCCCATGCTGGCAGTGTCTCCATTTGACGAGAAAACAACGCAGAAATAATGCATTTTGATCGCTTAGGTTACCAGATTTGTAAGTGTGTTATGGATAGATAGATAGATAGATAGATAGATAGATAGATAGATAGATAGATAGATAGATTAGATTAGATTAGATTAGATTAGATTAGATTAGATTAGACTAGATTAGATTAGATTAGATTAGATTAGATTAGATAGATAGATAGATAGTTTGATAGAAAATGATAGAAAATGAAAGAAAATGATAGAAAATTATAGAAAATTATAGAAAATGATTAAAAAATGATAGAAAATGATAGAAACTGATTGACCATGATGGAAAATGATAGAAAATGATAGAAATATTGATTAATTGATTAATTGATTCATAGATAGTGAGTTAATTAATTAGATAGATTAGATTAGATTAGATTAGATTATTAAGATTAATATTGATTAGATTAGATTTGATTTGATTAGATGAGATTTGATTAGATAGATAGATGGACTATCGCCAGCTACAGTATACATGGAATCTCCTCAGTGATATATATTTCTTTGGGTTACCATTTACGATGCCTGGGTCGCTCCTCCTTGGGTTTAAGCCTCCGAAGCAGCGCCATAGCCATGGCGAAGACGTTGAAGCTACCGGCGCCTGGCACATCACAAGATCCCGTCCCCTCACATGTAGTTGGGGTGGATGTTGTTGGTTGGAGATTATTCCGAATCATAATTATCACGGAATACGAAGAAACATGTTCATCAACAAATCCAAATTCCACTACATTTTACTGTACTAGGGTTTCCTTTGGCAGGTATTTAAGAAAAATGGGTGAAGGGATTACTGTGCTCTCTACCTAATTCCAATTCAACCCAAGGTTTTGGTACCTTTCATCATGTGGCGGGGAAATTCTTTCAAAATTTGAGGTAAAATTGAAGGTGTCTCAACAAATTGGAGGTACCTTGAGGTACCTAACATATTATCATTATTATTGGTATCGGTCTGACTAAGGCCTTGCTTTCCGGGAAGGTTCCAGTCAAAATATGGGATGAACCATGGCACAGTATGGGGCCGTCCCTGATGATGTCTGCACTGCATCGACCTTCACTCAATATGTGCCATGGCTCATGGGCAAAACATGGTATATGTGGTATTCCCATCCCACTCTTGGGATTATATGTGGTATATGTGGTATATGTGGTATATGTGGTATATATCTTGGGTATCTTTAAACCACTATAAATCACTAGTCACTCCGGTATGTCCATGGACTAATATGGAACTATAGCCGTCTATAAACCCGCTTTGGAGCATCAACCAATAAGATACATGAACAATACCCCTATCCAATCCTGTCATACTGGGTGATTGATGGGCATCCCTAGTCGGGGCTACAATAATCCCCAAATAATAAACAAGGTATACCCCAATAAACAAGGTATATATACATAGTATAACCTCCTATAATAACCAACCAACAAGGGGTTTTTGAACACTGCTCTAACATGGGCGGGGCACCCCCAACTGGCACCTTCTACCGGTCCACAACTTGCAGGGCAATGACGCAGGACGGTCATCGCCAACTGGTCGTTGCTCACCGTTTTTTTCGCATCCAATCCATGCCGTACTTGGTGTTTCACCCCAATGTGGGTGACAACCGGAGTTATAGCTAGGGTAAATAGGGTCCGGTCATTAAGGGTGAAACATCAAGTAGTGATTGTATTGGGGGTAATCGGGGTATGAACCATGAAAAATGGGGTATGTTAACCAGCAACAACGAGGCTATCGACCGAAAATTGGAGGATTTTACCACCAAACAATGGTGATTTATGGCGATTTAATCATCAACATTGGACACTGGACATGTTTATATAATGGGGTAGCCGAGTGCTGCCAATAGAACGAGAACATGGGAAATCATCCTGATCTCTACTCGTAAATCTACAAACGAAAGGCCGCCTATATATAATATACAATGATATATAATATATTTATGTACGTATGTACGTATGTATGTATGTATGTCTGTATGTCTGTATGTCTGTATGTCTGTATGTCTGTATCTATCTATGTATGTATGTGTATGTATGTGTATGTATGTGTATGTATGTGTATGTATGTAGGTATGTAGGTATGTAGGTATGTACTTATGTAGGTAGGTAGGTAGGTAGGTAGGTAGGTATGTAGGTATGTAGGTATGTAGGTATGTATGTATGTGTGTATGTATGTGTGTGTGTGTATGTGTGTGTATGTGTGTGTGTATGTGTGTATGTATGTATGTATGTATGTATGTATGTATGTATGTATGTATGTATGTATGTATGTATGTATGTATGTATGTATGTATGTATGTATGTATGTATGTATGTATGTATGTATGTATGTATGTATGTATGTATGTATGTATGTATGTATGTATGTATGTATGTATGTATGTATGTATGTATGTAGTATGTATGTATGTAGGTATGTAGTATGTAGGTATGTAGTATGTATGTATGTATGTATGTATGTATGTATGTATGTATGTATGTATGTATGTAGGTAGGTAAGTAGGTAGGTAGGTAGGTAGGTAGGTAGGTATAGGTATGTAGGTAGGTAGGTAGGTAGGTATGTAGCTATGTAGCTATGTAGCTATGTAGCTATGTAGCTATGTAGCTATGTAGCTATGTAGCTATGCGGGTATGTGGGTATGTAGGTAGGTAGGTAGGTAGGTATGTATGCATGTATGTATGTATGCATGTATGTATGTATGTATGTGTGCATGTATGTATATGTATGTGTATGTGTATGTGTATGTGTATATGTATATGTATATGTATATGTATGTATATGTATATGATGATTATGAGATCCCCATATTATCATCATAATAGTAATATTTGCTAATAACAATAATCATCATCATCCCATTTGGAGGCGCGGAATATCAAACACGTTCTCAACCCCACCAGGAGATTTTTTCAGATGCAGCCAACTTGATTTTTTAGCACTCGCTCACCCATGGGATCCAAGATTGGCATTGCAACACCAATATCAGTACAAGGCAAACGACGAATGAAGAGGACCTCCGCTAGTTTTCAGGGACATTTTGATGTTTTCCTAATTTTGAACGAAAAATATCTGTTATGTTGTTGTGTTCAATGGTCATCCCAGAAAGCATTGACCGCATGATGTTGATGGATTTTGATGGTTCAATATTCACTAGTCATCTGAAAAAGGCTCTCTCTACACATCGTTCGGGATTGGCGCTTTCCACCTACCTGATACTGCCACCCACCCGAAAGGTTGTACACTCATGTCTGGTGTTTTACTTTTTCGCTATATCCCCATAGTGGTTGGTTTCCCTCCTTTGCTTCAACCCGCATCTGCTTGAGTATATCCCCCAGTTGTGATTGTGATCAGCATACGTTCTGAAGGAAAACGAGTCTTATTTTTGCAAGAAAAACGTCTAGTCTGTAAATTTGCATATAACTGGGAATTGTCCATGTCCATCCACTTTCAAAATTGTGTACCTACCGGGTACCAACCAGTCTTTCGTGTTGGAAAACAGTGGAAAAACCCAACCTCTGCCAGCTCTTCTGTGGGCCCTTCGCCCTCCTGGTTTGGTGCTGGGGGTGCAGTTGAGGTCATCAAAAAACATCACCACAAAACCATGGCCATTATCCCGAAAAAAGTTGGGCATATTCACCCCAACTTAACATCAGCTATATAATTAGATAGGATAACCATGGCAATTAGCCCACAACTTGGGGATAGTTGGGGATTGTTGGTGTATAAGTAACCCCAACTGAACATCTTATAACATCTTACAACCATGGTACAAGTATATTGCTTCACTATCTCAAAGTTTCTTGGCTACTCGGCTCTACTCTCTTCCGCACCTCCAAGACCAAGCGAAGCATCTCCCTCAGCACGTCGTAGTGTTCCCCCAGCAACGCCTCCATAGCCTGGCACCCGGAAAAAAAAAACTCACCATGGACCCATGGCGGTAGCGCTCCATGGTGCTGGAACCGTTAATTAAGGTTACCATCTGGTTATGACTCACATAGCCATGGAAAATCACCATTGCTTATAGGTAAACCATCTATTTCTATGGGCCATTTTCCATGGCTATGTTAAATAACCAGAGGTTGATCACATTTACCGAAGATCGATATGTCAAATAGTGTTGAAACATTTTAAATCGTCAGACAAAAAAACGTTGTGATTTGTTGTTTGTTCACCTGGTCTATCTTGTGGCTCTTGGCGGGCTTATACTATAAACCATCCTCAATTGCAAAAATCATGAACCATTTGAGAAAATCTAAACCGTAGCTGAACCCCCAAAATAAGTTGGATTCAGTGTCGGGTTTACCACATGAACTGGCTGATTTCACCCTTCCAACCAAGCTCAGGCACTGACCCAATACTTGCTATACTTGGGTGATCCGGGCAAATCATGGTCATGATATGTCATGATAATGTACCAGCTTCAAGATGCTTCAAGTATTGGCCCATAAATCGGTTTCCCCTGATGGACTCCAAGCTTTCGCATCTCCAAAGCTGGCTGCCAGCCTAGGGATACATCCCATGTTTCATGTGTTCAATACCAGCAAACCCAGCGTTTTCTCTCACAGCTTTTACACTGTTCCAATGGGTCCCATAGGTGGACCTGTTCCTATATCAAAGCTGTTGCAGCAAAACCTGGTGCGGCGGCATCGCCTGCTGACAGAGGGGTTTCGCTTCAGTGGGCAATTCTGGCGCTAGCCTCGGGCGCCAAAGTCAGAGAGACTCGGCGGATGAGATATTTGCACCAAATATCAGGCAAATATGTTGTGATGGCCATTGATGGCAATTGTCTTTTCTTGTGATTTTCCCGGTGTAACAATTCTTGCCCGACCCCCTTCAAAAAAGACCTGAATAATTGAATTGTACGATTATTTCACCAACACATTCTTGCGATTCAGGCTAGCGGCCAGCAGGTAGTCTGGGCCTAGGCGATATCTCAAATATCTGTCCGTCCATCTACATCAGGGCTTCATCCTCTCGCCCCTCGCTTGGTCGCTATCAATCATTTTTGGTTCCCAAACGCTTCTGGGCAAAATAAAATAGCAAGAAGCAATCTAATGTCCATACCCTCAACAACTTTTAGTAGGTGGAAGAGATTATTCAGCTAAATAGCTAAATATCCATGCACACATATACTTAAACATCTTAAGCATGCTAAACATCACCCAACCATAGGGAACATCTCCAGGTCAAAATCTACCAAGAGACTGTGTTGAGATGCGCCAAATCAAGGCTGAAGCGGCATCAGTAGGTGTCCTGGATTCAGGGAAAATGACAGCAACTGCTCCCACTAGATGAACAATGATAGTGGTTTCCATTGGTTGCCTGTAAAACTCACTTATCCTGTCGATATCATTTTGCCCAAGCTGGTTTGCAGGAAACAACAAACCTTGAAGGGACAAGGATGGTATCCCGGATTTCAAAAGCTGCCTGCCAAGATTCTACTTTGAAATTTAGAAATGTCAAGTCAAAAAAAGAACAACTCCGTAATGTCAAGTGAGGATTAATAATGCCCCCCGATTAATCAACAGCAACTGCCCAAAAAAAAAATGTAATTTAAAAACAGGTGGTCCCCCCAGATTAATAATTTTTTTGGCCTACCCCCGATTAATCAACAACCACTTCGGAAATCCATTTTTTTATCCAACATTTTTTATTTCCAATTCTATTTATTTCCAATTGTTTTTTACCTTTTTTTTAATCATCATTGTTATACTTCAGGTTTAAGTTGATCATTGAAAATTTCAAAAAACAACTATTCCCCAAATGATCGATTTCTAATTAAAATATTTATAAAAAACATCAGTTTGGATAGCTCCCAAAGGGTACCCCCCATGAGCCCATGTCCCCCAGTAATAATAACCATGGTTTGCCCCTGATTAATCAACCACCTTTCTGATCCATGAAATTTTAACAAATCCAATGGAATTCTATTAAGATCTAATTGACGTAAGCCATATCCAAAGTTTTATGCTTCAGAGTTGCTTATTATTAAGGGGCGATCAAGAAAACCAGTCAGAAGGTACCTCCCTACCTTCTGGGGGGGGGTTATTAATCCGGTGTTGGCATTAGTCAAAATTGGGATAAAGTTTCAATACTATTTACATTAATTGTCTATTAATGCTATATATTATTACTAGTCAGGTAAACCCAATAATAACCCGAAATTACATGAAATTACCTTTTCATGGGTGGTAACAATCATCCACAAATGGTACTTGTTTATGGTATTTAAGGCCATCGTTGCAGTGACGTTGCGACGTGGGGCCGTTAGAATTCATTGAGATTATTATTTGAATAGTGGTACTATGGTTACCCCTGCTGCTGCTGCTACTACTACTGCTACTGCTACTGCTGCTACTGCTACTACTACTACAACTACTACAACTACTCCAACTACCCACGAAAAGAACACCGTGAAGGACCAACCGACCAACCGACCAACCCACTGGTTTTTAGGCGGTCGATGCCTGGCTGCCATCTTGTCTCGATATGTTGCCCACTCTGGAAGAACCTTGCAGTCCAGGAGTTCCAGGGGAAATGGAGATATATAACCGGTATTCTATGGAGGATATAACGAACTATTATAGTTACTGTAATAGGGATATTGGTTACAGTATGTATCCCCATGTTCGATTTATGACTAAAATGGGGACATATCACAAACTATAATAGGTATATCTAAGATATTCATGGGTATATTATATGATGGACTGGGATATGTCGAACCAATATTGTGTCTGGGTCTGTCTGAAAATGGAGGATGTATGTATATAACTGTATATAGATATTGTTTAGTATAGTTGGACAACCCCAAATCAGTAAACAAATTCCATGATTACTGGCTATATCTACGAGATCTGACAAAAAAAACTCCGGATACTGCTGATCCAAGCGATCTATCGGGTTTGATATCGGTACAAGCATCCCACAATATCCCATTACCCTCTTGTTATGACTAACATAGCCATGGAAAATGGCCCATAGAAATAGATGGTTTACCTATAACCAATGGTGATTTTCCATGGCTATGTGAGTCATAACCAGATGGTATATCCCATCATATTTGCAAATGGCTAATAGCAATATCTAGCCATAGTATTTTCGGGTAATGTTTGGCTACGTGTATCAAACATATCATCATCAAGATTCCCCAAGTTATATTATGGGATGCACATCCAAGAAGATTCGATTATAAATGGTGATCTTAAGTCTTAAGAAATCTTAAGGCCATTTAAGGCCCTGATTAGTGGGGCTATATCAATTACTTTTGGTTAAATATCTGCCAGCTGCCCCGCCCCCCAAGATAGAAGTAGGTTTAGAACCTGCATCAAATATAGTTCGATCTACAATAAACCATGTTTAAAGCTAGCTATCAACCAGCTTCACTCAGATATGGTAGAATGGATTAACCTTTTAAATTTGGCTCTTTTAATCTTTGCACCATAGATACCCTCTGGTAATTTAACAGTTTGCTATTAAAAAAGGCCCATTTACAGGCTATTTACCAAAAACACATAATTAGTGATTTTCCACTTCGCTATGTTCAATGATCATAATGATCATCCAAATTATCCTATTTACTCCCATTAATCACCCATAATATTACATGGGTCATTAAATGTCCCCATTGAACATCACCCAACCATTAGGTATATGGTCTATAATGGCTACTATAAGGTGATGTTCAATATTCCCAAAATGGGACAGTTACCAACCCCTGTATTAATCCATGTTCATGAATTACCCGTTTGGGGCGCCGCTTTGCCAAGGCGCCAATAGCGCCCGCAGGGCCCTCTCCGCGTCACCGCCCGCAGCCGCCACCAGGCGACGCAAGGCGTCGTCTGACGGCATGATGGTGGAAATTGATGGGGATGAAACTGAAATGTTCCCAGATTATATTATATATATATGTATTGTGAATGTATTGTGTATATATATATATATATGGGAACATAATATGGTGTATATATATATGTATTATAAATGATTTAATATGGTGTATATATATATATTGCATGGGGTGCATATTGTTAATATATATATATATTATATAGTCAATATAATAATGTGTATATATATACGTATGTATATATGAAATTTATCCCGCGCAACATGAAAGGTTTCAGATTTGCCACGGGAAGTACAGTGCTATGATGTCTCATATTAAGCGATCCAAAAATCCAAACTGACAAACACAGTGGATGGAGCTACTCGGGCGCAGCACCAGTGATCATAACATAGGGACATGGACCAGGACTCGGGAAACGTGGTAAGACGTGATAATATGTGGTAAGATTCACCATCACGGGGATGCATTACCAACCAAACCGTTTGCTCTTTGTTCACAACCCCCCAGCAAGTTACTTTGGGTTCACCACATCTATGAAATTCTATGAAAATTCTATGATATTCTATCCATAATATACACATATCATATAGTTAAGTAATGTTAATTAATGTTATATAATTTTTATTGTTAACTAATATTAATGTTAATAGTATTGTTAATTAATGTTAATAGTAATGTTAATTAATGTTTAACATTGTTAATTAATTATTAATGTTAATATCATTCAAACTCATCTGTGGTAAAGCATGGCAGCCCAAAGTCACCAGCTGCGCCTGGATCCTTTCGGGCCGCCCATACCTTGATCATCGAAAGGCAGGCGGCCCGCACCTGGCCGACCCCGATGGGGGATACCGGTTTAACGTTCCAAATCAATAAACATGGGATTAATGGGATAAATGATAAATGGGAGTAATACAATTATCAAATAATTGATGGGATAAACATGGGATTCGTATTCTAATATGGGATTTCATGGGCTCAAATCACCTAATCGGATTAAGCGTTTTCGTTCATCCTCAGGTGACAAGTATATCATAGTGTTTGGGTGTGTTTTTTTGTATATGGGCGAACGTCCGGGTTGGGGCGAACATGTTTTACTCTATATCATTTCTTGCTGGCAAGGTTCAATAAGTTTGGATTTATGAATACAACCTTCATCGCTAAATCTATTAGCAAAGTTAAAAGGAACTTGCCTTGCTTACTGTTAAAACAGACCTGTTTTCGTGTTTTTGTTGAACACCATATTAATAAATGTGCATTATCTTATATAATATAAAGTACTCATTAGTTTTTGCTTCCATACTATTGATACAATGATGACTCTTAGTTGGCTTTGAAGCAAAACCCTGGTACCCTAGGTACCCTAAGATGGCTGGGTAATGGATGTTTATTCACCCAAAATATGCTAATAATAGGTGTTGACCCATCCGCATATTGCTTCCCTACAAAGCCAACCACTTCACGGTGATATAACGGCCTAGGGCCTAGAAATGCCCAGATGTGGCAAAGTATGGCCATTTTCATTACATGAACCATTAATGGTGATATAATGAAGATAAAACTGAATATGATGGAGGTTGTGGATCCAAAATGCACAACGAAATTCTTCAGTTTGTCGCATGAAACAACACCATTTTGATCATGAAACTCACTTTTCAGCCACACCTGCAGCCCTCAAACGGATAACGCAAATCCCCGACCTCTGCATTGCCATCTGACAGGCCACATCGAAGCACATCTTGAGGCAAATCATCAACATCCTGCCGGGTATTGGATGATCCCTGCAGCTACTAAGTGGTCAACTCAAAACGTGGTTGCAACCATAAGTGGCTCGAAAAACCACTTCCAAACCATGTTCTTCACATGTCTTTAGTGTCCAAATCTCCATTTCTGAAGATTCTTTCTTCAAGTGTCATCAGTTATATCATGTATAATATGTATATTATATCATGAATGTATATATATATATATTAATATATATATATATTACACCTATACATCAATATACCCTTTGCGCGTCCTGCTTCTCAGCCGCCTCGTAGAAGCGTAGCCGCACCCGGAGGACGGCATCCAAGCAGCGGGCACTGGCCTGTGCCCGGGGAGTCCGGGGGTCCCAGAGATATTTAGGGAAAATTCATGGGAATAACCAGAGTTAATGGAAGTTAATGAGAGTTAATATTCATTTACGGGATATGAAGTTATTCCCAGAGATAATGGAAGTGAAATTTCCATGAGAATAGATGTGGAGGTTTCCATTTCATGGGGCACAAACCCAAACCATCCATGTTATTTTCAGATTTTCCAGCGAATAAACAAAGCAGCTATTGGGGATCCATTTAAGGAAACTTCCACGTGATTGGGATACCGTCTGGTACTCGAAATGGTGTATCTTCCAGCCACGTTTGATGACACCGGAGGGAACATCAACATTAAAATCACCATTAATGGTCCATTAAATAGTGATTTCACCCACATTGTTGGTGATTTTATGGATTTAACAACCGTTTACCCACATGACTATCAATGTCAATCCATGGAATATTGCATGGAAGATATCACTAAATTTCATATAGTACGATGTAGTATATCATAGTGAATGGGGATATTGGTTCCATAATGTTACATATCCCCATGCTTGATTTATAACAAAAATGGTGAGATATCACCAACTACCTTAGGCATATTCACTGCATAGAATCCGCAGAGCACAAGTCGACTGGAAATGAGGAAAACATCATCCAACCGACATCCTGAAACGATGACAACATTTAAATCATAACATATCCTGGCGGGAAAGTATAAGTGAAAAAACATAAGAAAACTGTCAGAAATTCAAACAGAAGATCTAGGACGAGAGATGAGAAATTCATCAAAACAAATAGTTGAAAAAAACATCAAAAATTATAGGACCAGATAACCCCACATGTTACCAACTTCTCTAGACTTAGACTGAGCATAGAAAAGCAAGAAGGGAAGAGGAAGTAGAAGAGTGATGGAGGAATGATGGTGGGTGAGTTTTTGTGTATGTGTGTATGTATGTGCATGCACAGGTGAGTGAATGAGAATGTGAGTGAGTGATGTGTGAGAGAGAGAGAGAGTGAGTGAGTGAGCGAGCGAGCGAGTGAGGGAGTGAGTGAGTGAGTGAGTGAGTGTATGAGTGATTAAGCGAGTGAGTCAGTGATGACATGAGTGAGAGTGAGTGAGTGAGTGTGAATGAGTGTGAGCACAGTGTCCCACGCCTGCCACGCAAAAGCCACCAGCAATGCACATTGTCCCCTTGGTAGTGCACATTGTCCCACGCCTGCCACGCAAAAGTGCACATTGTCCCACACCTGCCACACAAAAGAGGCGGAGACCCAGGGGCGCCAGCCGAACCCCAGGGCGTACATCCGACCCCTTGGCAGTGCACATTGCCCCGTGCCTGCCACGCAAAAGAGGCGGAGACCCAGGGACGCCAGCCGAACCCGAGGGCATACATCCGACCCCTTGGCAGTGCACATTGTCCCACGCCTGCCACGCAAAAGAGGTGGAGATCCAGGGACGCCAGCCGAACCCCAGGCTGTACATCCGACTCCTTGGCAGTGCGCATTGTCCCACGCGACCCCTTGGCAGTGCACATTGTCCCACGGCTGCCACCCAGACACTGGAGACGCCAGGGCGTACATCCGACCGCTTGCAGAGTGAGCGAGCGAGCGAGCGAGCGAGCGAGCGAGGGAGTGAGTGAGTGAGTGAGTGAGTGTGTGAGTGTGTGAATGTGTGAGTGTGATGAGTGAGTGTGTGTGAGATGAGTGAGTGAGTGATGAGGGAGGAGGGCGGGAGGAAGGAGCGGATACAGAACTAAAAACAAAAAAACACTTGTCAATGTGGGGAAAAACAAAACATGTTTTTCTTCATCCTTTGGGAACCCCCGTAGCCCGGCCTCCCACAAGGCCCCTGTGCCGCAGTCCCCAAGGGAGACCACCGCAACGCCACGCACAGCAGGGGTGGGGTCCCGGGTGAGTTGCAATAATGCGGCCTTCGTCTCGGCACCTGGGATCAATTGATGTGGTGTGTTCCATATGTAAACATCTTTATATATGATTGTATATAGATAGAAAGATACATATAGATTATCTATCTATCTAAATATATATATATATATATACATATATATACAAAATAGATAGATAGATAGATAGATAGATGGATAGATAGATAGATAGATCGATAGATAGATAGATCGATCGATCGATAGATAGATAGATATAATCTCTCTATATATATATATACATATATCATGGATCATCTGTATGGCCGGTTCTTAAAATGGGGGATCCCACAACACCCCAGGCGACCCCCAGCCGCGACCCTACCCCAGGTACCTTTGAAGGGGTAGATATCATCGACCCATAATAGATTGGAATACCCCGGTCTTATGGGATTCATCTGATAACACATAAAATACACATCACATGTATATGTAATTATATATACACATATTTACTTATTATTGGGAAATATTGATTTGAGTCAGTGATACAAGCTATAGGATCTATTGATCAGTTCCAAGGACTATCTTGAATACTCTAACTACGGTCCTGCAAGTCTACAATTCTAGAGGGAACGAAATATTGGGGAGAAGGGACAAACTGGATAAACCATTCTATCCCATTATTTTATCCATAACAACCCAGTTGTATATGTCATAGAATGTCCCCAGCTATGTATATACGTTCTCATGCATAATAAACTATGTATGAGTAATGTATACTGATGTATACTGTATATACATATATTATATTATATAAAATATAGATATTGGTTGATTGGTTGTAAATTGTTATAATATATATATATGTTACGAGCCAGCACCAGGAATCCAACTCAACCTGGGACATCCCGCTTCGCCTGGAATCTTACTCAACCCACGCGTGGCCGCCAAGCGGATCGCCGGTGTCTTGTCCTGGGGATGGACTTCGTCAGTTGGGGTGATGAAATTCCCAATATGATGGGAAAGTCTTAAAAGCCATGTTCCAAACCACCAACCAGTTATGGAATGTTATAGAATTGAATAATCAAAGACAATCAACATATGAATATGATTGAATATGGGGGGTTCCGGAAATGGATCCTCAAGTCACCATGGGTTTCAATACTCAGCCATGGTCTAATGATTTGGATGATTTGGGGTATCGCTACTTTAGGAAACCTCCATGTGTCAAAGATTCAACTACCTACCTTTAATCTTCGAAACTGGAAACACTTGGAAACATCTAGTGACATCTCGTGATACCTTTCCAACTAACTTCAACCTTTGGCTCCAAAAGGTCTTCTCTTTTCGCATGGCGCAGTGGTGGCATGTCGCGCCTTGGCCAAATCCAACAGGGCCATGGTGGCTGCATCCAGAATCAACCGTGACACCTGCCACGATCCCATTAGCTGGGGAACCTTCGTGATCGGAAGTCACCATTCAGTGGCGCAGCTCCCATCAATGGGTGAACGAACTATGGGTGAACGAATTATATGCTTATTAACAACCACTTATCATATATAATGATCTAATCACAATGATGATAATAATTCTGCATTAATGATAATAGTGATAATGATATATAATATATAACAATGATAATTAATAATCATGTTCTGCTTTACTGGTGTGCCTTTTCCAAATATATAATATATAACAATGAAAATTAATAATCATGTTCTGCTTTACTGGTGTGCCTTTTCCAAATAATCGAACTGAATTTTGCTGATGGATTTTGGCCTTTCGAAGCATATTAGAATTCACCACCATGTGGTTGGGAAACTCTTAGTGGTTCTTTGGCTCCACATCTACTAGAGCGTATGCATACCCAAAGCTGCTTTGCTCCTCAGCTCCCTCCAAACCACCAAATAGTTTAGTTTAGCATCCACATAACATAACCGTGAAGGGTAAGCTCATGGAGCCAACAATTGGAGACCACCACAAGCCCAATCCCACACAGCGCCTGGTGCTCCTTCTCTGGCAACCTCAATCAGGTTGGGTTTCCATCCTCTTACCCTCCAGTAGATTCACATAGATGTGGAAATCCCACTGTATAGATTGTAGTTGTTCTATCGAAACCAATGGGTTTCCGCATCTTAATTTACCAGGTAGCTGGATAAAGTCTGACAAAGCCCAGACTGTAGTCTCTTAAGACTGAAATTTCGACATGTCAAGGATCCCAGCTGGAGGCAGATATTTCCCGCCAGAACGATACGAATCGCTCCAAGAACTAGGAGATGTGATAGTATATAGTATTGTATAGTGTAGGATAGTATAGCATGGGATAGTATAGTACAGTACAGTGCAGTACAGTAAGAGCACAGCAAAATATGGTGTATTAGATATTTATATCAAATTTTCTGATATTACAAGATATTGTGTGACGTGAATTGATGTGATATGATACGTTCTGATTTATATATATAAGAATATTATATATGATATGATAGTTATCAAGAGTGATTATATAAATAATGATCATCAGGGTACTGTACTTCTTCTACGGCTACGTTCAAATTCCATCATGTTCATATGCGCAGCAACACATTGCCGTGGAGTTCACGGGCTGGTTTCACCACCGCTGCACCCTTTGACCCCGTTCTTGTTGTGTTTAATTCCCCGTGTTTGCTGGTTATATGGGATTGTTTATATGTGGTACCCCAAAGGCAATAGATTGTCATAAGTTTATAAACATTCCCAAACAGTAGTGTATAGCATAGTATACCGCGTTTTCAGATGTACCCAAAAGCCCTTAAAATCGATTATCCATATGGTTATCCCATATCATAGTTCTATCAATAGTTCTATCCCACTTTCTCCCATGTTCTCCTTGGATTTTCCGGTGGATCCCTCGGAGCCCCCGGAGCGTTGTGGATCCCCGGCAGGCGCCACAAAAGGCTCGCCGCACGCTGCCGGGCAGGGCGATCGCGCAAGGCTTTGGCCTGGCCCATTTTTTTCCAGTCGGATTTTCCATGATGGAAACGTCAACAACACACCACGAAAATATGGGAAAATGATTTGAAGATCCAAGTAATATTCTAAGTACTTTAGATGAATTATTGTATTATAAATGTTAGTATATATATGTACAATTGGATATGCATTCCACTTTGTAAGTGCTCAAAAACCTTAATGTATCCTTATATAATAACCCATATGTGTATATATATATGTGTGTGTAATTGAGGATATTTCACATGTATAACTGAAGTATAGTCAGTCTGGTTGTTTCCCATTTACTGAGCGGAATGCATATCCAAATATTTTTTAGTTGACTTTTAGTTGACTGGGGGGTGTCATTGTAGTTACAAGTAGATTCTGTAAATATTTACCCTAGAAGCCGACGCCAAATGACGTCAAATAACCTGTTCATTTGATGAATCTCAGCTTTCATAACAGGAGTTCTTGGGCTTCCGAAAACATGTACATATATATATATATATGTATACATATTATGTGTGTGCTGGCGGCAGGTTTTCCGTACGTGCGTTTTTGCGTTTTTTGTCCAATGGAGTGGGGTGGGGTGGGGTCGGGTGGGGTGGGGTGGGCTGATAACGTTCAATGGCACTTGCACACATACGTGATGCTACGTTACCGACCTCGTCGCTTGCACTTGCACACATACGTGATGCTACGCTACCGACCTCGTCTCTTGCACTTGCACACATACGTGATGCTACGCTACCGACCTCGTCTCTTGCACTTGCACACATACGTGATGCTACGCTACCGACCTCGTCTCTTGCACTTGCACACATACGTGATGCTACGCCGCTACCGACCTCGTCTCTTGCACTTGCATGATGGGGTGGGGTGGGGTGGGCTGATAACGTTCAATGGCACTTGCACACATACGTGATGCTACGTTACCGACCTCGTCTCTTGCACTTGCACACATACGTGATGCTACGCTAATATACCAGCCGGCAGCTAATATATACATATATATATATATTTTGAATCAGAAGGTAAAGCCCCCTTTGATTTATAGGTTCTGTTGAAATAACTGTATGAGTGTTCTTTCGCTTGCAGGTTGGGTGCTCAGCATTTCTGCGGTGGGTCTTGTATGCATCTGGCGATTTGGTGTGGGTTAAACAGTTGTTATACTGGACCGATTTGGAAATCTTGTGGCAAGTTAGAAAGTATTAATGCTGTGGCAAGTTGTTTCAAGAAACCTGGTAAAGATGTGGATGCTGCAATGCTGCAAAGAACGGTGTTTTTTTTCTCGCTGGCTCAAGTCAACATGTGCTTGGAAGCGTTAACGTACATTTTGGTGCTTCGATGCTTGAAGCAATCCTTACCGCCAGTGGTTTATTCATGGAGCCACATTGCTTGGAAAGATGTTATGGACATGCATGCTCTGTTTGTATGTGACCCAGCAGATGACCCTGCGTTGCGCATGACTCAAGAGACACTTCGGTTCACAGATGACTTCCTCATGTTGCAACGAGGTTTGCCTGTTTTGAGAGATTGCTGGCAACGTTGGAAACGTCGCACATCTGTGGTTCCAGGTGAGCTTGTCACTTTGTTGCAGACATTAGCAGCAATAGAAAATGTTGCCGCACGTGATCCACAGAGGATACGTGGTGAAGTCTTGGCTTTCTTGAACTCTCCGACATGTGATGATGTAGAAATGCAGATCACGGATCAGGTATTGTCTTGGCGGGAGAACTGGTTTATGTCCAAACATGATGAAGATATTTCATTTCCTGATCTGAAAAAGGGACCTCCAAGCCGCCGATGGGCCGCACGTGCCTTGAGACCGTGTGGCGACATCGAAGTGGATATGCCTTTACCTGATGTTTCCCAAGATGAATTTGATTTTCTTTTGCAATTTTGGCATCAATGGACAATTGTGCCTTGGATTCAAATATCTTTAAGGGTTCTGTTCTGTCTGCTTTAACGCCACTACGTGGCTCCCCGTGACCCGCAAGATAGTTTCAACTGATTCTTTTGTGATTAGTGTCAGACAAGGAAGAGCAGGAGCGTGAGTGTGGAATAGACGATGGCCTGGCCTCGATGTTGCCCGAATGGTGCAATCAATTCTTTAGCAGCTTTGATTGGAACCGGGACCGTTTGATGGCTATGTTAACCTCCTTGCCTTGCAGGTGGGATCCCAACATCGTTCCACCACAGCTGTGTCATCCGCCCTGGGTGCATTGTGTGCTTTGCGCTGCAGCAACTGACACCATGGAAGAACCTGAGTCAAATGCAGCGCAAGCAGATGAAATGCCACTAGCACAAGGCACAGGTGTCAAAGAGAGTTCATCTCACCGGCGTCCGGTTAGGAAGCCTTGCAAGTACGGCCGTTGTTTTGCATGTCAATCGGCACGCAGACCCTGGATCTATCAGTCAGGTCCTCGCGCAGGGCAGGCTGCGCTGGTCTGTGGAAAACTGTTTGAAAAGAAAGGAAAGAAGTGCTTTGTCTTTGAAATTATGAGCAGTGAGCAACTGTCGCAGATGCCGATTTTTTTTCAGAGACAACACCAGAGCTTGGCCATGCGCCTGAAACGAGGCGGGCGATGCGACTGTCAGGCTCGGACGTGACTTGCGGGCTTGAAAAAAAGCACGGGTTTGCTGCAAGTGTCCATGTGGAAATTGCAGAAGTCACCTTTCACGATGAAATTCTTTTCTGCCGAAAAGATGTCTATCTGCGAGTCTTGACACCGCATGCCGACGTTGCAACAAATAGAGCATTTCATACATGCATACATACATACATGCCTCGACATATATATATATATACACTTTTTCCCATATGTTGATATACATAGAGATGTGCATACAATTACATACATCTACATCTGTATATCTACATATAACATATCTATATCCCGCATATATATATATAGATATAGATATATGTATTTCTAAAGCTGTCAAGGAAGTTCTTCCGTCGTGATTTGAACATGTGGGAATTTCAGCACTGACGCAATCGACTGCAGGCTCAAAGCCCAACCGCCTTCAATGAAGTTTGACACGTCCTTGTGTCGTCCCAATGGGAAAGCCTACCTTTCGGCAGGCCAAAGCGCATGCAGTGAAAAAAGTCAGCCGTAGAAGCAAAGGCACCAAAGCGCAACCCACCTGTCGCGTCTGTTCCAAGACGGGTCACTACGCGTCGAAGTGCCCAAAGCTGGCAAAGCAGTTGTTGCAGGCTGTGAAGAAAACAGCGGGTGCAGGGCAAATAGTGTCCTTTCTGCAAAAGAATGGAACTGCAAAGATACAAGGATTGCAGAACAAACCAAAGCGCACCTTGAAGCGAGCCAAAGGGAAAAGGAAACCCAATCGAGGAGCACCATGGAGTAAAACAAGGGCAAAAGCAAGTCAGAAGGACGAAAGAAAAACAAGAGCTCGAACTAGACGCCAAAAGAAGACTACGAAAAGACGACCTAGAGCCATGAAGATGCCTTGGAATAAGGCTGAAATCACTGCCAAAGCATCGAAAGCGGCCTACCGCAAACTTCTGGCTGACCGCTGGGCTTGGAAGCCCCCACTCTGCCAGTGTGGGTCGAAATTTCAAGAAGTTCCTTGGCGAACTTGCCTTTCTCGTGGATTTGGACGTCTCTTCGTGAGGTGCTACGGCTGTGGTAGACTCTTGCCTACCAATTCATTTCGTTTTCCCATCTATTTTTCCGCGTTGCTCACATGATAAGAATCATACATCAAACATCGTGATCTGCCACTCTTACATGAATAGCAAGCACAGATTGCCGCGAGGTTGGCACGACGTGCTGACTTTCTCGATGTTGCCCACTTTGCGATGTCCGATTCTTTTGGTGCATCGCTTGTTGGTCTTCTGGTTTGCCAACTCTATGGCGCCTAGCATCAACAACATGGCCAATGTCCTGGGCGTGTCCGGAAACTTGGGTAGCTGCGCCCAGAAACTGGCGAAGAGATTACTGGTGGCTGAGTCTGAGTGTGCAATTGCAAGGCAAAAGAAAAGGAAGCTCCGGGGAATAGTAGAATGCGATGGCACTTCCATACGTTCATATAAAATAGCCGGAACCCAAAACCTTGCATATGTTCAGCTATTTGGGGCCATTGAACGCACTTCCAGAAAAGTCAATTTATATCAGCTGGGGATTGCTGTGTCCAAAAACTTAGGTAAACCCCCACCGGAGTCATGGGCCAAAATTTCTGCCACTTCGTTCTTGACGGACGTGGACAAGACAGACGCGGCTGATAAAACCAGTTGCATCATTTCTGATGGAGCCAAGGTCTATCCGAAAATTGCGAAAACTTTGAAGATCTTGAACCGATCCGTCAGCCATGCCACTGGAGAATTTCAAAGAACGGATAGACTTCATGGCAGCAAAGTCAGTGTGCATACGGGTGGGATCGACCAAGCTTGGAAAGACCTCAAAAAAAATGTTCCTAACAGCATTGCAACTCGCAAAGACGGAGCACCGAACCCACTGTTGTGGCAGTACGCCACACAATGGCAATGGCGCTGGGAAAACAGTGCCTGTGCCAATCTGAGCCGTTTGACAGCCGAGACTCTTCGAGCGAACATGCAGTGAAAGTGCTGCGCCAGAAAAAAAGCGAAAAGTCCATTTTTTTGGTTGTTTTCCTGTGGCGAAACGCAAATCCATCAAAAAACACGGCATCCTGAAACAGCCTCTTTCTACTCCTGGCGTTCACAAAAGCATGCAAATACCAGTGAAAAATGATGAAAAAATAAAACACAATGGAATTAACCACATTTTGTGACCAAAAAAGATGATGATTGCTTCACAAGTCCTGCAAATACCATGATATAAACATGAAGGTCATCATAAAGACTCTTGAGAACATGACAAAACACACGCGCGGTAAACCAGGCGCCGGGATGTGTGTGCGTGTTTCTCCTACATATATATTTCTTTTAAAAAAAATGCATACACATGGACTCGGACTTTACGGCCATGGAAATCACAGATTTTGAGCCGTGGCTTTGTAGTAAACAATCCAATTTTGGGTGTGCTCGATTTTGACCCATATCTTCTGAACTAGATTCGAATTGCTGGGAGTCGTATTGAGATCTTGACTGTAAGTCGCTTTTTGTTGACTCCATTCACCCAGTCGCGACAAGCGAAAACAAGATGTTAATCAAACCTCTGAAGATCAAAGCTGGCAAGGGAAAATCCCTTACCATCTGGTTATGACTAACATAGCCATGGAAAATCACCATGTTTAATAGGTAAACGATCTATTTCTATGGGCCATTTTCCATGGCTATGTTAGTCATAACCAGAGGGTAATGATTGTCCCAGCTATAAACCTCCATTGAGTTCGGAGGTTTCCAACGCCGTTCGGTGGTACCATCCTATCCGCATCCTAACCATGGATGACTAATACACGCTATTGTATGGAAGATTTAGTATGATTTAGTAACATTTGCCAATCACTTATAAACATGTAAACATGGAAGATTTAGTAATATTTACTGTACCAACATGTACAGTCCACAAGATGCAGGGACATATACCATCATATACCAGACATTAGTCACAAATGGGTACTTCTGAATGACTAACCCCATCCGCACGCACAGGACCAACAAAAGCAAATCTGGGGGGTGTTTAACCATGTTCAACCCAAAGCTAGGATCTAAGGTGTGAGATTCTGTTGATTTGAAGGATGAACTCAAGGTTTCAGATTTTGAATGTTGCCAAGATGGGATCACGTATAATTCAATCATATAAATTTTATAACAACCATTTTGTGATTCCAACTGAAAAGGTACCGGTAATGTTTATTTGCTTTAAGGGGGTGTAAAAGATAATGAATGAATCGCATCAGATTCCCCTGGGCCCCTGGGGCAAATCCCTCATCTTTTAGCAATTCCAGGCAATCCTCCGGCAAATTGTCATATATGGCGAATCGACCATCCTTTTTAAGGGGAAACCATAGGTTTGTTCATATGATCTATGTGAGGTTGTCTGAGATATACCAAATCTTATCCTCTGGTTAATCATCAGTCTCCAGAAGGGCCGCAATTTTACGGTCAACCCCCCATTCTCAAACAAACCCATATCCCCAAGTTGGCCACATGTATGTATGTATATATATATATATCCCGTGGTATCGACACGTTTGCTTGGTTTTATACCCATAAACCATCCAGTTGAAGTGGGTTTCCCATAGGACGTCAATTTGGTCATATCAGGTCACATTTGAAAAATCATTCTACTTAAATATTGAATAACTATAGTTTTACCCCGTCTATATATGGAATAACCCACCAAATGGGAAGTTAGGGCCCACTTAATTAATAGTTCGTAAATGTGCAAAACAAATAGTTATAGCCAATTGACTAACTATGTATAGTTGTTTAAACATATATATATATACATATATATATATACATTTATTGTATATCTCTATATATATATATATACTAAGTTTACAACTACAATAAGTACAACATCTACAACCATGGCTCCAGTTAAAGGATGATCCACCTGGCTTTCCGTCTCACCGCCCAAGCGTTGAACCAACCAGCCCAGCAGCCCTGGAGCGCTCTCCACCTCTTCGCTGGTTGGATGGTGGTGATTTTGCTTCGATATCCCATGGTACACACTATGGGAACTTGACCCACCTTGCAGAATGATAGTATCCGGCTGGATTCCTATGGTATATCCACTATGGTAACTACAGTAATAATGTTACTAGATACAAACAATGGTAATAAACAATGGTATATTATAATGTACCCATGGTAAGAATGTTCTATCTTATATCCCTATGGTAGGTAATAACTGACCCATCCGGTGGCGCCTCGTGAGCGGCCGTGCCCAAGAGGTCGATGCAGGCATCCACCAGTACAAAGCTGGAACGGCAATCCCCGCAGCAAAGAATGGCCTGGGGAGCGATCCTGGAAAGATCACGAAAGACATTGGAATTGTTGGGGAAATCATTGGAATATTCCATTGAATATTCCAATGAAATCATACCTGGAATCCATTGGAATACATTGGAATCCTGGTTTCTTCCCAAAGGAAGACGGTAATAGATTTGCTTTGGAGGTTTCACCCATCATCACCTGAAGCCCTGTGGGCTGCAGTAGCTAGGCCGAGTCATGTAGCTCCCACAGCCCCACATTGTGGCATCGTGGTTGGTGAAATCCACGCAAAATAGAAAACCACCAGAAAGCCATTAAACCAGCTAAATACTTGATAGTTGAACCGACCCCAACAATCAATCCGTGAATGTCAAATCAGGACCAATAACACCCCCAGTAAAAACTACTTGGAGGAGCCCCATCAAGCACAACAGAATTCAGAAAGCCCCATTTCTAATTCTAGAAGGGATGTCCTCAATTAAACACACATCAACAACCCAAATAACCTCTGATAGTAATATGTTATTTTAAATATATATATATATATAGTATATCCAGTATATCCGTATATCCATTAATACGCAATGTTAATAATAGCCCCAGAATAAATCCAAATATATATGAAGATGGCTTAATTGTTTATAAAGCATGCTAGGTTTGATAAACACATATATTATATGTTGTAAACTATCTCAAATAACAATAACCAAGCAGTTGCAGAATTTGGTAAAATGATATGTCAAAAAATTGAGTGATTGAAATTGATTAATCTGTTCTGCATCTTTTTGGCGTTTCTACCCAAAGAATCACCCGTCCGGATAAAATATAATGACTTACCTGACAAAGTTCGACAATTTGGGATAGTTGTCCAAATCCTAACCACCATGCCTGTTTTCCGCCGCGATGTGAGGTCGATATTGATTTTGTCCTGCCTTAATAAACCCTTGTTGGTAAATACACTTAATAACCCTTTAATAAACCCTTGACCCAGCAATCTGCGCCCTAATCATTAACCCCCAAAAAAGAAGTTATCCTTACAGTAATCAATTTTTTATGTGTGATCAGTGACTAGTGATGAGTTATTTATTGCTTGCAATATATCACTAATTGTGATTGAAGCCATGGTTGGGGGTGATCCTTTAACATCTCCGAGTGAGCCATGAAAGATACGTCCATTATAATTACTGCTTGGTTAATAGGATTCCCGAAGGTATCCCTATTATGAGGTATCATAATCCCGGGCAAATTAGCTAGTATAACTTCCTATAATCATCGACCACTCATCACAATTATATAATCAAATTTACCACTTATTTCCGCCTGCTATCCCAAACCTTACAAAAAAAATAAGCATGTTGAAGTTGAAATCCCTTCATGGCTATCACATACTATAATCCGGTACCCCTACTACTACACGTACCCCAAATACGAAAAACTCGTGTCCATGATTCCCAATTTTGGGACGTTTCAAGTTGGCCAATGTGATTTTAAATTGATCCCCTTTGGAAAACAATTTAAAAATCGAAGTCCATTTGACAGTTTCACATCTCAATAATTAGAACTAGCCGGTTGGGGGGTGGTTTATTATTAGGTTCCCGGACAGTATCTTTAGGATGTTTAAACCAAGGTTATGATTTTGGAAGCTTCGCACCCTAATACTAAATACACCCAAATACTAAAACCATCTAGACACTACTCCAGGTGTTCATTATTTGGGAGGGTTAGTATTAGGGGGAAGAGATCAATCATCAAACACCCATATCCCCATAGTTCAAAAATGTTTTACTGTTAGAAATGACTAAAATAATCATTTCTAACTATGTAAGCGCAATAATGACCATGGTAATCACCATTCCCTCATAGTAACAACGGCCATGTTAGTAAATTTCATCACCGCGATAGTACACCATCCCCAATGTTACTATAAATTGGCGAGATAAACCATGAACTTTAATAATGGGTGGTTTATTATTTATCAACATCATCCCATGGTCTGTGTTACCACCATGTAAATTTTATGGCTGCTTGAATCATGAAATCGTCAACCACTATGATTTTCGAACCCAGTAAACCATATATGTCCATGCCAACCACCATTAAACCACCATTAAACCACCATTAAACCAGCATTAAACCAGCATTAAACCACCATTAAACCAGCATTAAACCACCATTAAACCAGCATTAAACCACCATTAAACCAGCATTAAACCAGCATTAAACCACCATTAAACCAGCATTAAACCAGCATTAAACCAGCATAAAACCAGCATTAAACCAGCATTAAACCAGCATTAAACCACCATTAAACCAGCATTAAACCAGCATTAAACCAGCATTAAACCAGCATTAAACCACCATTAAACCAGCATTAAACCAGCATTAAACCACCATTAAACCAGCATTAAACCAGCATTAAACCAGCATTAAACCAGCATTAAACCAGCATTAAACCAGCATTAAACCACCATTAAACCAGCATTAAACCACCATTAAACCAGCATTAAACCAGCATTAAACCAGCATTAAACCAGCATTAAACCAGCATTAAACCACCATTAAACCAGCATTAAACCAGCATTAAACCACCATTAAACCAGCATTAAACCACCATTAAACCACCATTAAACCAGCATTAAACCAGCATTAAACCACCATTAAACCAGCATTAAACCACCATTAAACCAGCATTAAACCAGCATTAAACCAGCATTAAACCAGCATTAAACCAGCATTAAACCACCATTAAACCAGCATTAAACCACCATTAAACCAGCATTAAACCAGCATTAAACCAGCATTAAACCAGCATTAAACCACCATTAAACCACCATTAAACCAGCATTAAACCACCATTAAACCACCATTAAACCACCATTAAACCACCATTAAACCAGCATTAAACTTAAACCAGCATTAAACCAGCATTAAACCAGCATTAAACCAGCATTATTTCCCATGCCAAGCACCATGAAAATCATCCCCACTCCCCATCGCCATGGCAACCCCAGGCCCTGAGGCACCTCGGCGCAGCACTGCAAGGCCTCCTGCAAGGCGGCAGCTCCGTGCACTTCGCGTGCCGCCTTGAGGCGCGCCAGCGCCCCGCTGGGCTCCGTGCCGTTGGTGGCCTCAGCAGTCCCGATTTCCATGGGATCTCCCATGGGAAAATCCATGGATTTCTGGATGATGAAACAGTGGGAAGATTGAACATGTTGATTTGTGGATGATGTTGATGCAAAAATGATGATGTTCCAAGGATTATTGCGCGACAATTGATTTGTATAGTTAAGGAACACATTAGAGGAAACAATTGCATTTACCACCAAAATATAGCATAGGTTTCCTGTAAGCTTTCCCTTCAATCAGTTCTGGGATCATGGGATTTTTTGGAAATGCTGGAAATGGCAGTGGGATGTCATGGAAACGATCTTGATGGTGCGTGGGAATCGGACAACAATAAGAAGGAACAAAATCATGGCTGCAGGCAAAATTTATTATAATTATAAAGAGAGAACATGAAAATTAACGGGTAAATCAATCTTGATTTGAAGGAAAAACATGGAAAAACTACATCTCAATTGAACAAAATCACTCCTGGCTGCTGGAAATCGAAATCATGGATTTGTATAGATTTGGTTCGTTCATTTTATTAATTTCTCCTACAATTACTGGGGTCCGCTTAATTTAGTCGAATGGTGGATGGGATAGAGGCAAAACATCTACAGTATCTGCTCAGCAAATCAAATAGACCGTGACAGACCACCAAATGATGGCAGCTCCCATCGATTGTGAACTAACTTTCAAGAAATCAAGCGCACCGAAACACAAAATCTTTGAGAACCAGATGGGTATCCCAATCTACACTCCGAGAACCTACGTGATAGACAACATCCCTGAAGTTTGAACTGGAAGCTTGCTATGGCCCGTGAACAAAATCAAGCAATCATAGAATCTCGTAGAAGCCCAACATCATTAATTAACAACAACAACAACAACAACAACAACAACAACAACAACAACAACCACAACCACAACCACAACCACAACCACAACCACAACCACAACAACCACCACCAACAACAACAACAACAACCACAACCACAACAACAAGAACAAGAACAACAACAACAACAACAACCACAACCACAACAACCACAACAACAACAACAACAACAACAACAACAACAACAACAACCACAACAACCACAACAACAACCACAACAACAACCACAACCACAACCACAACCACAACAACCACAACAACAACAACAACCACAACCACAACAACAACAACAGGCCGGGTTCCATGCTCAAAAGAACAATATGAAACAAGCAATCCCTTGCGAGGTTCCCAGCCATGCTACCCTCATCAGCTCATCTCATCGGATCCAAGGTGCAACTTGCAGGATTTCTTTTCATATTTGATGATGAAACACAGGTTTTGAGAAGATGTCATGCCAGTTTCCCTGGAATCCCCGGCCTCGAAGTTGCGAAAGACTTGAAAGACCTCGCAGGGACCTCAAGAAAAGTTCTCGGCGCTGGGAGAAGGTTGGAAGTGGATTCCTGACAAAGTGGTACCCTCTGGTAAATTAACATAGCTATTGAAAATGGTGATTTATAGTGGATTTACCCATTAATAGCATGGTGGATCTTTCCAGTTCGTTACGTAAACGTTTACCAGGCCGGGTAAACCCAATGCCACAAAGCATCCACTGTCTATGGCATTGGGACGCACTGGAAGTAGCGATGTCTGTCTCTGTGTGTTTATGGTAAGCTGCCAGTCCTCTTTCCCATGGAATTTTACTTGAAGCATACTGTACACAACAGTGTGTGGTCTTAAACGGAACAGAGTTGAATCATCCGTTGATCCATGAACCTGCAAATGGGGCAAGAACATGCATGCCAAGCAGGGAATGCACACATATCAAGTAACAAAGGATTTCAACCGGTTATAGGCCAAATACCACAACCAAACAAAATACTAGGTTACTATATATATATATATATGCATATAAAATATGAAATACTTACCCTCTGGTATAGTGATTGAACATGTTTTGGACGGCCGCATTCCCCATGACTCCAGGGCCCGAACATTCGCCCATGAATTCTGACAGCTTCATGGCTGGCACTTCAGTCATCTCGGCCTGGGACGATGGTGGGATGTATCTTTGAATTGGCCTCATATTGATTATATATATATATATGTACATATATATGTACATGATATATATATATATATGGTGTCAGATGGTGAAGCTGATGTTTAATCACTATTAATCTATAATATAGATTAATAGTGATTAAACATCAGCTTCACCATCTGACACCATCTATCAACTCAAGCATCAACTTAACAATAATGTCTAGGTTGGAATTCAAAATTGGCTACCTTCAAATTTTCATAGTTGTACATTGATGGTGAATCATCATGTTCCCAATTTGGACAAACCTATATTCAGACTGGAATCCAGATCCCTCCCATCTCGGAGGTGTCATGGACGCTGCTTGATCATTACTTTGTAGCATAGTTGATGATGCAAATGCAAAATACTTTGGAACACATCAATACAGAAGAGGCCGCATAGCACCTGCACTCTCAGATGTGTTTCTTATTTTCGGAGCTCCAATGTCATTGCCACTTTGGTCGCTGCCTTCTTTTGAAACAAAATCACACGAAAGTGGAGGAGAAATCTATCTCCAGTCTCTGGCCAGGCCTTTTGCTTCCTTCTGAGCCGTTTCTTTGGCATTCGCAGCACCTGATTCTGGCTCTGGCGGCAGCTCGACTTGTCCAAGAAATCAGTAATTGCCATATGAACTTCTCATGCATCTCTAGATTTCGTGGCTGATTTCACCTTGTAATCAACCAAACACCATCAATGAACCAGCTGCTGAATCATCAGTCCCACTCATGGCCCAAGCTTTGATCTGTGGCTTGCGCTCCCTTCACATGGCCAATCTTAGATACCCGGCATTTTACACCCATACACTTGGTTGATCCCATTAATTATAGTTGAAATCCCCCATGATCTCAGTGCTCCCTTCAAAGTGGTGCCCCCTGGATATAAGATGGTTTGTAAACCCATCTAACTATAGTATTTCATCATCGACCCAACAGTTTCCCTATAATTATAAACATGTATAAAGCAACCTAGCGATTAACTGGGACAGCACCTTCAGACCAGTCACCTTTCCCAGTCGCAAGGGTGGCGACATCGGCACCATCGCCGTGCACGGCTTCGCCGTTGCGACCAGCGGAAAGCGCTGCGGTGTGCCGCGCTGCGTGTGGCGGCGCTTTGCCACAAAGGCCAAGAAGCGACCCTTGGGACGGGGGCTGCAAGGCAGCTCCTGGCGGTGGATTTAAGCAGACATGGGAAAGGGGTGTCGTAGGATTCAACTGGGAAATCTGATGGAAACGTGGCCAATCAAGAATGCTGGTGGAACCAACAAAAACGAGGTGCAAGTAGGCTTGTCAACCTCCGAGGATGGTAGTGAACTGATTGAACCAACTAAAATGTGATGGGTTCATGATGGGAAAAACATGGAAAATTGATCATGAAACATGATGGCCCTCCAGCCCTGAATCATGGCTAGCTGGAAAATCACCAAATTTCGATCGGAGTTTTAATGCGAAGATCATATAAAACCATACTATATAACTTGGGTATTCATTATTTTTGGAGGGACGGTGTGTGTGTATATATATATAGTATATTAATATTATATATCATGTAGTCTACATGATATCATATGGCTGATATGGATCCTTTAAACAAAGGGGATTCAACCAACCAACATGAGATAGATCCCATCATGATTTCTGGTTGGTGGTATACCTACCCCTCTGAAAAATATGAAAGTCAATGGAAAGGATGACAACCTATATATTATGGAAAATAAAAAATGTTTGAAACCACCAACCAGATTTTGCTCATGGCATCATTCCAATGCAAAACAGAGACATTGTACCATTCCACTTATCTGACTCTGATCTGTAACAATCTGAGCCAAAGTGTCGCACTGAATTCTTGAAAGATTAGCGCACTGCATGGCACCAGCATGTACTGAAGCCCCATCACGGCAGCTAGTGCATCAAACACCACATTATATGTGGCTATGACCTCTGTGGGTTAGGGTTGAACAATGGGCTAAATCCATTTTCATAGACATCCCCAAGTCATCAGCATTTTGAAATGGTGGTATAAACATGTATAAACCATCCGCAGTCATGGTAGGTTTATCATTGGGTTTCGCACATGACCCTATTTCCTGTCACCGTCTCCGACCTTGCATTCCTTGGATTTCTTGGGCATTTCTGGAGGGCTGACAGCTTCCACAGCTTTCTCTGGTCGCAGCATGGACAACATACCCCGCCTGGCAAAACGATTTGTTTCCAACAAACAGGGTGAGGTATAAAAGGAACTGTTTCATGGGAATGTAACGGTATACTATATAAGTTCATCTATAAATATCTATGATGGGACAGTAATCAATATCTATAATTAAATAACATATATATACATACATATGGGGGTTGTCCAAAATACCTTTTCCCGGACAGCCCTCAATCGCTCAGCCAATCGCGTAGCAACCGCGGTACCACAGTGAGCAATCGCGGAAGGGTTTGCTCTTCGTTGATCAGATCATATACATAAAATATAAGTTATGTATTATATAATGAGGATCCATGCGTGAACGCATTCGATTTCAAATTTGGGAACAAAATAAGCTCGCGCGGTCCGGAAACGGTCCGGAAAACTCACAGTAGTACCAGCAGCAGTAGTACTAGTAGTACTAGTAGTACTAGTCGTTGTAGTAGTAGTAGTAGTAGGAGGGGTAAGAGTAGGAGGAGTAGGAGTAGGAATAGGAGAAGGAGTTCTAGTAGCAGGGCAAGGGAAGAAAGGGAGAGGGAGGGAAAGAGATAAAGAGAGAGAGAGAGGGAGGGAGGGGGAAACAGATGGTTGCGTTTGACCGGTTTCTGACGGGTTTCTGACTGGTTTCTGACTCGTTTCTGACCCTTCAGCGGAACTCGTGTCAATTGGATTTAAAAGCAAGAGCAGAAATTCCTAGGTGTACTAGTGGTAGTGGTGGTGCAGTAGCAGCGGGTGTGGTGGTAGTGCTGGGGGTAGTAGCAAATCTAGTAGTGGGAGTAAGGATCCATGCGTGAACGCATTCGATTTCAAATTTGGAAGCAAAATAAGCTTGCGCGGTCCGGAAACGGTCCGGAAAATTCACAGTAGTACCAGCAGGACTAGCAGTAGCAGTAGCACTAGCAGTAGTGGTAGTGGAAATTGCAATAGGAGTAGGCGTAGGAGTTCTGATGGGAGGGTGAGGGAATAGGCAAGGGAGAGAGAGAGAGAGAGAGATTGCGTTTGGCCGGTTTCTGACGGGTTTCTGACTGGTTTCTGACTGGTTTCTGACTCGTTTCTGACTCGTTTCTGACCCTTCACACGAGTGCAATTTGATTTAAAAGCAAGAGCAGAAATTCCTAGGTGTACTAGTGGTAGTGGTGGTAGTGGTGGTAGTGGTGGTGCAGGGTGGTGCAGTAGCAGCGGGTGTGGTGGTAGTGCTGGGGGTAGTAGCAAATCTAGTAATGAGAGTAAGGATCCATGCGTGAACGCATTCGATTTCAAATTTGGGAGCCAAATAAGCTTGTGCGGTCCGGAAACGGTCCGGAAAACTCACAGTGCACTAGCAGTAGCAGTAGCACTAGCAGTAGTGGTAGTGGAAATTGGAATAGGAGTAGGCGTAGGAGTTCTGGTAGGAGGGTGAAGGAATAGGCAAGGGAGAGAGAGAGAGAGAGGTTGCGTTTGGAGTAGGAGTAGGAGTAGGAGTAGAAGTAGGAGTAGTAGTAGTAGTAGTGGAGGAGGAGGAGGAGTAGAAGTAGTAATAGTAGTAATAGTAGTAATAGTGATAGTAGAAGTAGCAATGATAAGAGCTGAGGTGGATGGATGGATGCATGGATGGATGGATGGATGGGATGCTAGGCAAGTGCTGCCTTTTTGGTGTTTCTGACCTGTTTCTGACCTGTTTTCAATTGGAGCTAGCTTGAATGTCCTTCTGACCTGAAAACATCTGCGCGGATTCCGCGCGCGCGGAATCCGCGCGGCCATGTCAATTATTGGCATGGTTCTGGTCTCGAAAGTAGTAGTAGTAGTAGTAGTAGTAGTAGTCGTCGTAGTCGTAGTCGTACTAGTAGTAGTAGTAGTAGTAGTAGTAGTAGTACTAGTAGTACTAGTAGTACTAGCAGTACTAGTAGTACTAGTAGTAAAAGTAGTAAAAGTAGTAGTAGTAGTAGTAGTAGCAGTACTAGCAGTACTAGCAGTACTAGCAGTACTAGCAGTACTAGTAGTAAAAGTAGTAAAAGTAGTAGTAGTAGTAGTAGTACTAGCAGTACTAGCAGTACTAGCAGTACTAGCAGTACTAGCAGTACTAGCAGTACTAGCAGTACTAGCAGTACTAGTAGTAAAAGTAGTAAAAGTAGTAGTAGTAGTAGTAGTAGTAGTACTAGTAGTAGTAGTAGTAGCAGTAGTAGTAGTAGTACTAGTAGTAGTAGTAGTAGTAGTAGTAGTACTAGTACTAGTAGTAGTAGTAGTAGTAATAGGGTGGTAGCCGTATAACCAATCCGTATAACCAATCGCCAACCAATCGCTCAGCCTATCGCGATGCAGGTTTTAGCAATCGCGCAAAGCAAAGTAAACGCATCAATTCATAAATTTGTGACCTGCATTTACGGACGGCTCCCATATATATACACACATATATATATATACATACATATAATATATTTAATATATACATATTGGTGTGTGCACACATGGATGAAATACCATGAAAATTGATGGCAATTTAAATGGGGAAAATGACATAGACGATGGGCTTCCTCCCAGGTGGAATATCTTGGATCGGCCCATCGTGGGCCCATCGGCCTCGGTTGGGGCACTTCGGGCACTGCTTCGCACTTCTGCCTCACTGTGAGGATGTAGGCGGATCAGAGTTAACAATGGGAGTTCTCATGATTCTTAAATCACAATAAAACGCTTCATATAGGAAGATTCCGCCTATATACATTATCATGCATGGTGCACAATATGATGTCAGAACATATTTACTCATATAGGCCTCAGCCCATCTTCACCGCTGCACGTGTCAAGGTGGTATGTCTTCATCTGATGACAGAGAACTGAAATCAGCTGCACCAAGCTACTCATTTTTCTCTGGCACCGATTCTTCTGGCATCTCTTCAGATGGCCTTTGCAACACGGAGCTGGGATAGCAGGAATTGTGGTTTAAGAAGACCCGGGTGCTGCAGAAATACCATGTTATGTTTACAGACCGATGTTGTGCTGGTTAAACTGTTGAACCATCAAATGCAAACTTTGACTTGTAAAAACAATCGTCGAAACCTGTAGGTTGTTACTTAAAGGCTATGTTCAAATCGTCGAATCAAAACAAACATTCATGTACATGTATACATGTACATGTGTATGCATGTACGTACGTATGTATGCATGCATGGATGGATGGATGGATGGATGGACACATATATATATATAACTTTTATAATCTTTTATATACATACGTATAGATACACAGATACTTGTTTATAATCTTGTATATATCCATATTTGTGTGGGGACCATCACCATCTCGGGGGGGGAAGGGGGGGACGACCGAGTCACGTCAGTTCTTCTGCAGGAGACTGCGATGGCCTTGGCCCCGTCTTTCAAGCCGTGCTTCAGTAAATTTATTTGGGATATGGGGATAATGATAGATGAGAAATTTGGGGATCCTTCAATAACAATAAGCCTTCAGTAAACTCACATAGCCATGGAAGTTTTGCCCAAGCGTAGATGATTTACCCATTGAACAGAGCAATTGTCCATGGCTATGTTCGCGTGCAAGTGCTGGAATTCTGGCGATTCCAAGTGTTTCCAAGTGTTTCCAAGACATTAGATGAAGGTAGTCTGAACCGGAGCAACTTCACAAGGTCATCCAAATCCCGAAACTCGTTGGTCCTCCCATGCCTGTAGTCAAAAACACCCGTTTTCGTCGGTTTTTTTCTGAACTTGTCGCTCGGTGCATGCCCAGGAACGAATGGACTTGAATGGACACCATTTGATGACACCACTTGGCTATTCAGTCTTAGACAACCCGCAATGAAAATAATATAAATCGTTGGTATGATGTGTCCCCATTCATAAAAAGAAGAAACAGCAAATATAATCGAGATTAGTCGAGTATATACAATGGCTAAGCTACCATTCACCAGTCGGTCCCACAAAAATAGACTTGTAATACTGGCGACATTATCTCCAATTTGCGCTTTCTAAATAGATGTCACTCTTTCGATACCATAAATCACCATACAGGTTGGCCAATGATCATCAAATCCCCATTTAGGCCATCGGAAAATCCCCATTTCCAGCCAGCTTTTGGTGACGCCGGAGGGTTATCGAATCATGTTTTCTCATTACAGATACTATATCCTCATAATATCCGCATTATTGGAAACATCTCATGGGGCAATCATTGGAAAAATGGAGGTATCCCCATATGTTTGATGATGTATATATATATGTATGTATACATATATATATATTATTACAGTCATTATAATGTGTATATATATACATATATATATATATATTTCATTATGCCACCATTGATTGTTGCTTCAATCCAGCATATGTTTGATTGGAGAAGCCAAATCTGCCGGGAAGCTCTTCCTGTTCAAGACCAGTGCTCTCGTCATCCGAATAGCGCTGGCTCGCTTGCCGCCTGGTGGTCAACAAGTGGTCAACCTGGAACTGAGACATACATGGAATGTGTATAGCGTAATGGTGGTTTCCATAAATGGGGGTACCCGGGTACCCCAATAGCTGGATGATTTGGGGGTATCCCCATTTTTAGGAAACCTCCATATACAATTTTACACATGTTTCATCACCTACCTCTTGGTTGTAAAGGGGGATGATATTATATAAACGCTTCATGAATCAAGCAACCAGGAGGAACACGGGCATCTGTGAGTGCATATCTGCCCTTGAATCCATCTTGGGCATTTCAGATATGATAGATATGTTCATATCCTGTCAGGCATTTACATAAGCTGATTGGAGGATGGTCAAGGGGCGCGCTTGACTGTCTCAAAGTTCCTCCTATTTATCAATGAAATGGGTAGACGTGCAGCAGGTTCAGCCTGGATGGCGATGTTGATTTTCCAGCGCTCAAAGCTGGTAAGTCGTTGTATCAACTATGCATGGGAAGAAGTACCCCCACTTTGATCGCAATATGTTCTTGACCACTCTACATGTTGTAACATGTTGTAACACCAGTGCAGCTGCAACCCGTGGCAGGAAGCATCAGAAAATTTTGAAAATAGACAAGACATGTCCCCACTCAGGCAGTCCCATGATCATCAAATCATCCCAGCGCCTCGAGAGTGGCCCCCCAATTCCAAATATTGGTCCAATGGATCAAAACCTGCGTTAAGTTTCCCCAGCAAAACAGCCATAAATTGGTGCATTACCCCATATTTAGACATATATATCAATCAGTAGCGGGAAATTGATGGATGGTAAACCATGGTAAACCCTTGGATGTTGGAGGTTTCTCCTCAAATTTCAAAGCATAACAGCTTGCCATAGTCAAGTCACTTCTCACGTGGTGTGCTTAAGGGTTCCTCTTTAAGCCTCGGTCTGGTGCTTCGGCACATGGACAGAAATCCCGGATCAACACTGGCATTTAAATGAGAAGTAAACGGGAAAGTACAGTAATGTATAAATATCTATCAATACCAGAATCTATATGAGGATTTCCCACCATGTGTGATTACTACGCATTATTTCGTCTGCACTGTTCCTGAATGGGGTTGCAAGAATATGCAACAGCATGCATCATGTCCAAAGCTATACTTTGATTTTTTTGGGGAGGTCACAATTCACACGTTGGCCACACATATGGCCCGGATTGAAAACTCATCGACGTGGTTTTTTTTTGTTGGTCCGGTAGCCAGCCTTGGAAATTTGTCATCAAAAATTTTGAATCATACCCATATACTCAATGTATGGCATATTTACCCACATTTGGGTGACTTTTAGGGTAGATGTCACTAAATATTCCAGCACCATGGAGCATTTGGGATAGCTACAGACATGAAGATAAGGCTTGATTGACGTGTTGTTGTCAAAAAAATAGAAATAAACATGATGGGCAAACTGATGGTCAAACTGATGGGCAAACTGGCCACCAACCTTTCCCATGTGGTGTTGCATGTAGGGGCATCTCCATGGGAACCAACCGCTGGGTTTGACAAAAACAAAAACACCTCATGTTTGATCATCATTGTTTGCCATGAACCTATTTTGAGATATCCTATATACATTTTAGGACAAATCCACATATTATATATATATACATATATAATCATATATACATATATATATAATAGTGGTTAGAAATATCCAAACTATACCATCCATCAAATCCTCATTGGTTCACCACTGAATCACTCCAGGTCACGGTAAGTCTGAGACACTGCCATCACTACAAGGCCTCACTCAAGCGGGGCACCACCCACGGCCTTTGGGACCCGTGGTTGCTCTACCATCATGGGATTTTCTATGATTTTCTGACCCAAACATTGGAGTTTAGATCCAGGATATCCACGTCCATGCCTGCTTCAAAGTGACTCATCTATTCACGGTAGCGGCTGGTCTCATGGCTGTAACTTAAGCTATAAGTTATTACTTTGTAACACACTTATCTGGATAAAACAATAATGTTAGAATAATCATAATCATAATCGAAGGAAGTTTAGAAGTCTAACTTCCGACAGTATGGACAGATGAAAAGCAGAGATGGGAAGAGTCAGAGAGAAGAGAAGAGTAGAAGAAAGAAGAGTAGAAGAGAGAACATCAGAGAAGAGAAAGAATCAGAAGAAAGAAGATGCAGGTGCGCGAAAAGGTGGGAAAGTCGCGAAACACTGCGTTTTTCCAATGATTTGTGGCTCCGGAAATCGAAAAGTAGGCTTGCTAAAGCGGCGGGTGCGGAGCCATCTGGCGATGAAAAATTGCACGCCGTTGTGGCACGGAGCACATTTGCAAGTGAAAAAGCTAAAAACACCTCACGTCCGGACCACTTTTGGAAGTTGAGATGTCGAAAAAGTGCACGCTGTTGTGGCGCGAAGCACATTTGCAAGTGAAAAAGCTAAAAAAACCTCACGTTCGGACCACTTTTGGAAATTGAGATGTCGAAAAAGTGCACGCTGTTGTGGCGCGAAGCACATTTCGAAGTCAAAAAGTGCAAAACACACCAGGTTCGGACCACTTTTGGAAGTTGAGATGTCGAAAAAGTGCACGCCGTTGTGGCGCGAAGCACATTTCGAAGTCAAAATGTACAAAGCACGACATGTTCGCGCCACTTTTGGACGTTCAGGTGTTGTTTTGCGTGGCAGGCGCAAGGGATTGTGCACCTTGTCAAAAGTGAGCAAAACGTGAGGGTTTTGTAGCATTTCCGAAAACGATGGCAGGCGTGGGACATTTGAACAGGATCTGCAAAGATGCATTTTCCGTGGCAGGCGCAGTACAAGAGACATGTTCATCAGAGCTGTTAGGAGGTCCGGGTGCCGATTTCCTGAGACAGGTTGCATTTTGGAGCCTCGGATCTTCAGGTTTGCTGAAATAATTTTGCGTGACAGGTGCAGCACTTCGTATGACCTGGCATCACTTTTTCGTGGCAGGCGCAGTAGTTTAGACAGATGGACTGGACAAATCACAAAACGCATTGGTACGAGGCCGTCAGCGCTGCACTCAACTTTCCATTTTTGAAGGATGTCTCGCAAAATTGCTTCGTTTTTGATGTTGTCAACTTTAAAAAATGAAAAGGTCTCGCAGAATTGCTTCGTTTTTGACGTTGTCAAGTGCAAAAATTGAGGACGTCTCGCTGAATTGCTTCGTTTTTGATGTTGTCAAGTGATGTTGTCAAGTTTAAAAACTGAGGCAATCTTGCAGAATAGCTTCGTTTTCAAGCTTACAGATAGATAGATAGATAGATAGATAGATCGATCGATAGATAGATAGATAGATAGAAAAGCTAGATAGCTAGATAGATAGATAGACAGACAGGCAGACAGAGAGATAGAGAGATAGACAGAGATAGAGAGAGAGAGATAGATAGATAGATTAGAAAGATTAGATAGATTAGATAGATTAGATAGATAAGATAGATTAGATAGATTAGATAGATTAGATAGATTAGATAGATTAGATAGATTAGAGAGATAAGATAGATAAGATAGATAAGATAGATAAGATAGATAAGATAGATAAGATAGATAAGATAGATAAGATAGATTAGATAGATTAGATAGATTAGATAGATAGATAGACAGATAGATAGATAGATAGATAGATAGATTAGATAGATTAGATAGATTAGATAGATTAGATAGATTAGATAGATTAGATAGATTAGATAGATTAGATAGATTAGATTGATTAGATAGATTAGATAGACTAGATAGATTAGATAGATTAGATAGATTAGATAGATTAGATAGATTAGATAGGTTAGATAGATTAGACAGATTAGACAGATTAGATAGATAAGATAGATAAGATAGATAAGATAGATAAGATAGATAAGATAGATAAGATAGATAAGATAGATAAGATAGATACGATAAGATACGATAAGATACGATAAGATAGATAAGATAGATAAGATAGATAAGATAGATAAGATAGATAAGATAGATAAGATAGATAAGATAGATAGATAGATAGATAGATAGATAGATAGATAGATAAATAGATAGATAGATAGATAGACAGATAGATAGATAGATAGAAAGATAGATAGATAGAGAGATAGACAGATAGACAGAAAGACAGACAGACAGACAGAGAGATAGAGAGATAGAGAGAGATAGAGAGAGAGATAGACAGATTGACAGATTGATAGATTGATAGATTGATTGATAGGTTGATAGATAGATAGATAGATTGATTGATTGATTGATTGATAGATTGATAGATTGATAGATAGATAGATTGGTTGATAGATAGATTGATTGATAGATTGATTCATAGATAGATAAATAGATGGATGGATGGATAGATAGATAGATAGATAGACAGATAGATAGATAGATTGATTGATTGATAGATTGGTTGATAGATTGATTGATAGATAGAGAGAGATATGGATAAACAGACAGACAGATAGATAGATAGAGAAATAGATAGATGGATGGATGGATGGATAGATAGATAGATACATACATACGTAGGTAGGTAGGTAGATAGTCAGAGAAAGAGAAAGAAAGAGAGAGAAAGAAAGGAGACCTCAACCACCTGTCGGTCCATCAGTGTCTTCGCTCTGCCATCCGTGACTCACAACAACCAACCTCTCCTATAGGTTTCCTATTGTTGAAACTTCCGCCACCGCCTTGTGCGGTATTACTGGTATTAGGGATGATTAATCCAATCATCATAATATGTCATAATGCTTCACTGACCAAAGTTCGGCCATTCTGGGATACTTCCCCTTACCAACCATAGTTGACATCCAAGTCGCTGGGAGGTCCCACCATCATGGGGATATCATGGGGATGTAAACAAGAATATGATTCAACGATATCGATGTGTCTGAAAATGCTGGATACCCCATTTAAAAGGTGGCAATTCTTCATAGAGAAAATGATGAACCAGTGAATGGAATGGGGCACCCCATTGTACAACAAACACATAGAAATGGGCTGGGAAATACAACGAAACTTCCCAGCCAACATCAAGTGACAACATTTGATAAGACATGTTATGACCCCTTAATTCACCAATTACAAGTGTCCACCGGCTGTGGATTCTGTAAGACAAGTGTCAAATATGTAGGAACAAGCCCTTTCGCACCTACAGGAATCATTGCAGTACCTTGCAAAAGACTGTGGCCAAGTTGCGACGACAATGGTGTTGCAGGCTCCGCTTCAGGACTGTTCCTGTTGCGATCAAAGTGCTCAAAAGGTCGAGGAGCTTGCATCGCTGCAACCCCCCAGCACTCACTCAAGATCTAAAGTATAAATAGGTTTTAAAATATTTATTATTCATACATATTCATACAACATGCTTCATGTTTCAGGCTGAATTATGATATCTGGACGAATCATAATATGTCACCTGAAATAACGGCATTGTGGGATAGCTACCTCTACTCACCATCATTCCAGTGACGTCGCAGTGAGGTCGTTATAACTCACCCAATGAATCCGGGCTTTGCACCTCGGCGGAACAGCTCTTGTGACCAGCGTAGGCGGCCTAAGCGGACATGGTCGGACCATTTTCTGGGACAAAACCATGGCCTGCACAAATCAAATGCCGCCCTGGTCACCGATGAAAGGTCCATTTTGTGTACCATCTGGTTATGACTAACAGTTTGCCATGGAAAATCACCATGTTTAAGTTCAGTAAACCATCTAATGCAGCCAATGTGATCCTTCTTGGATTCTGTTGGATTTGTATCGGATGGCTGCATAATGGTGAGTTTCAGCCAAAAAAGACGATGATTCATCTTTGATGCTAGTTAAATGTCCATTGCGTCTTCCTCAATTCTATGACATTGAATGCCAGCTTCAAATGTCCAGCGTTGGCAAAAGAACCAACATGTTCCAAACAGGACCAGTCTATTTCTTCCGTGTTTACAGAGTTCTCAGGGGGTTCAAGCTTTTGATTTAACAGGACACTATCTCGTGCAGAACAGGGTTAGTTCCAAAACTCTTGCAAGTTGCACTGTGAGGTGCTATCGGAGCCGATGAAACCAATTGTCTAAATCATGCCTTCCCATCCACCTAATATACTGAACACGCCCATTTGAAGTTCCGAAACTAGGTGGTTTCTGTTTTTTTTATATTTGGGGGAAGGGATTACATTCTTTATAAGGGTATGGGGCTCGCAAAATTGGTCATTTGTAGTATTGACCCATCCATCTGTCACTTGACACTATCACCCATGCCCAAAATATGATGATACATGGTACCTAATTCGTACCTTACATGTCTTCATATGAACCGCAGTGAAATGAACAGATCTCACACTGGGACAAAACAAAATAGAATTGAATTATAAAAGCCATATCAAATGCTCGTCATGAAACCCAGAGCAATCGTAAATTACGTAGTTTCACATCATGATCGAGAAGGATGGACAGCCATCAGCGATGTGATTGTGGGCCACTTCACCCTCCACCCCTGTAGCTCACATGCCAAACATATTGCCTTGCAATTTGAACAGCTGTACCCACCTTAGGACAGGGTTTCAAGGCTGGCCCAAGAAAAAACAAAACAAGGCCACAAAACCGCTAAATATTTAAGGTGGCGAAAGGTACCAAATATTTCGCCTGATTTCAAATTGATATGTAATCACCGGGATTATCATCCCAGTCATGGAATTGAAAAGAACAGTGTTCGAAACCACCAACTAAATCATTATTGATCAATATTAGTATCCTCAGTCTGGCTAGTTAATATTCCATTTTTTCATGGTTGATATCACTATTGTTCCACCAAAACCATCCATATCTCCAGGTGCTTGGCTCACTGTTCTCTTGTTTCACCTTCACCAAAGACCTGTGGGGTTCGCAGCGATCAAAACATTTGATGATTCTGCATGCATATTGAGATACCCCCCCGATGATCCCCCTGGGTATTTTAAAATAACCATGGAAAATCACCATTCTCGGCTATTTAAATAGGTAATTGCTAATCACTATGGAAAATAACCATTTAAACGGGTTATTTACCCTTTCACCTGGTATTATAGGTAATTGATCTTTAAATGGGCTATTGCCCATGGCTATGTTCAATTACCAGAGGGCATATGGAGTTCACGTTCGCCCAAGAGAGCACTATCCCTAAAATACCTTGGATTTACCAGGGAGCATCCCTTCATCTCCCATCCCCAATGGAACAATTAACAATTTCTATCATAGGGTTTACGTAGGGGATCAGATCTCCCACCCCCCACTGGAACAATTAATCATGTCCATCATAGGGTTTACATGATGTCGGAATGAAACTCAGCCCTGCACAGCTTTCATCAGGGTCCGTTAAAAAAAGAGTGTCATGTTGTGCAACAAGCATGGGCTCCGGGCAAACGCCCGGAGCTGTGCTCAACATTGCTCCAAACAAATCCAATGATTAATACTGTGAGAAATTGGATTGCATGAATCTTCACGTTGCCAGAGGGAGACATTCCATCCGGGTATATCGAAAGAAACATCACCAAGTTCAATAATTACGGACAAAATCTACGGCTGAAGGAAAATATATCCATTGGTGTGGTAAATTTGAGCTATAGCTACCTTCACTCCCAGCCCAACAGCATGGTCATGACTCCTGCCTGTCTGTAGACCCTAACCTGTCAGCACATGAAAAGTCATCTGACCCCAGGGTTTTCAGGACAAGGAACAAAACACGTACAGACTGCATACATGTGTCATGTAAATTATATACATACAAGACATTACATTACATTACATTGCATTGCCATACATTTACACTACATTTCATTATATTTATTACATTACATTACATAACATCACATCACATACATACCTGGATCTTCCAATAGCACCTTGTTCTGCTCATATCATATTCTGGTTGTTTGTTTGTTCTAATCCTGACGGACGGGTATTTGCGTTTTCTGCTGGGGATTTGCGCTCATTATCCAGGAAAATACGCTCAAAATGTTGGTTTCAAAAAGCACAAAGTGGAACAATGCCAAGAGTGTTCTTGATTACGCTCATGTGGAGAAAAACCGCTCAAACAGTGAGCATTTACAGTATTTCAAGGATACAGGTATGTATCATCCGTACTAAACAGAACGCCATTACTTATGATTGTATGCTCGTTGCGTGAGTACGGTACCTGTGCGTGCAAGTGTGCATGTGCATATATATATATACATAGCTCTATATACTAGTGTATATTACTGTATATACATAATAGTTCATGTACAAGATAGAACCGTTGCATAAATCATGTTTCTTTGTATCTGATGCTCTGAATAATGTTTCTTTGTGTATACAATTAAGTAGGTATGTGAGAACAGTATCCACTGTATCCACCAACTCGTACTGAGGAAACCAGAATATAATATACTATACCCTCTGGTATATTAACATAGACCCTGGCAGATAGGGGTTGGAAGACTAGTTTCCACTATAAATTGGTCATTTTCAGGGTCTATGTTAATTTACCAGAGGGTAACATACTTCGATACGCAACCGCGGGGTATGTTTGGTTTAAGGCTCCACGGGGCCGACCGCAAATGGAATACATGGGGTCTGAGAAAGGTATCATAGGTATCCCTAAATCCACTGGTTACTGTAATCTTACTGGTGCTAAACGTAGGGAATTTTGGGGAATGAGGGAATGATCCAATCCATTCCAATCCATCACTAGTAATAATCATCCCAGCAACCCCCAGCAACCCATCCATTCCCTGCTAAGCACCAGTAAGTAATGTCATAATGTTCCCATTGACACACAACATATGCATACATCATTCATATCCAACCTTATGAATAATTGCCAATCCCGTGAATGCAGCAAGATATCAGGAAATGTCCAATCTTGACCCCCTACACGTATATAGTACAGATAGACATTGCGAAAAGCGGAAAAACCTTTCGAAGAAAGCTCGCCCTTAGCCTTTTCACCACAAATCAGTTCATAGATATTGTACAGTATCATGTACATCAGGAAAATGTCGCACCCAAAACTTGTTTGTGTCCTTGTGCTAAAATGGACAACAATGTGGTGCATTGTATTGCGAAATTAAACTTACATTGGCTGAGTTTGGTGCGGTCCACCATTTCCGAACGTCCG